AAATGTCAATTCTATTTGCATCCCACACTCTATTCAATCTATTCATTAACATTTGAAGAATTGTGCTTCTAAACTGAATTTGGTTCTGGTGCTCCAACACATTTTTAGAGATGAAAATTTGACATTTCTTTGAGTGAATAATGTTTTAAATTCATATATTATTTATTTTTGAACCTTATTAGATTATTATTATTATTACAGAAGAGGATAAAAATAATCTGCCTAAACCCACTAATGAGAAGAAGTTCTATGCTCCGGACTCTAGCTCTGATGAGGAACTTGGTAAAATAAAATTCTAAAATATAAAACAGAAGTTTGGTTTGGACTTTTTTAAAATGAAAGTTAACATTTTAATGACTTGTAATGAAAGGTTTAAGTTTTAGAATTGAAGATTTAAAAGTAACATTTTGTCTAATTTATTTTGGTCTAATAACTTTTTATCTATAGAACTTTTGGTCTAAGTAACGCATGGTCTAAAGTAACATTAGATTTAAAATAACTCTAAAGTAACTATGTTTAAAGTAACTTTTAGTCTAAAGTAACATTTTGTCTAAAGTAACATTTCGTCTTAAGTAACTTATGTTCTAAGTAACGCATAGTCTAAAGTAACATTTGATTTAAAGTAACTCTAAAGTAGCTATGTCTAAAGTAACTTTTGGTCTAAAGTAACATTTAGTCTAAAGTAACATTTTGTCTAAAGTAACGTTATGTTTAAAGTAACGTTTGGTCTAGAGTAGCATTTGGTTTAAAGACTATTTTCTGTCAGTATTTCCTGTAAGTTTTTCATCCTCATGGTTGGGAGTGAGACTCTATGCGCCTCTACTTTTTAAAAAAGATTGATTTCTTAGAACCAATTGATAGTCGAAAAATGGTATAACGCCTTATTTTCAAACACCTTACATGGACAAACCTGATATTTCAAACTATGAATTATGTTAGAATTATTTAACATTAAAGAGGCCGTATGGCGCTCGGCTTTGCCCATTGGAGCCGCAGCGCTCTGCTTGTCTTAAGCCAAGATAGGGTGAGAGACAGCATATTATTTAAATTTTAAAAGGCCGCAGCGCTCGGCCCCCTAGCCGCAGCGCTCGGCGTAGAAATTGGCTTATTTAGTCTAACCCAAAATAGGGTGAGAGACAGCATTTAAGAGGCCGCAGAGCTCAGCCCAAAAGTTGTCTTAACCTAATCCAGAGTAATGTAAGAGGCAGCATATTAATTAACATTTAAGAAGCCGCAGCGCTCGGCCCCAAAGCCCATCCTAGCAGCAGCGCTCGGCCCAGAAATTGTCTTTACCTAACCTAACCCGAAATAAGCTGACAGACAGCATATTAATTAACAATTAAGAGACTGCAGCGATTGGCCCCCTAGCTGCACCGCTCGGACCAGAAATTATCTTTACCTAACCTTAGGTCTAAGTTTGAAATATTAATGGTTTACACCATAAGCTTGCTGATATAAGAACTCATTTCCTTTTAAGATTAATTTTGACAAATGTTACTTTAGACCAAAAATAAGGGCGTATATAGGGGGGGGGGGCAATGCCTCACCTAGACCTGTGAAAAGGGAACTCATAGCTAACACACTTTTCTAATCTGAAACTAAAGAGTGAAGAACATTAAAAATCAGTTTGCTGTTTTTTTTTATCTGTTATACATTTGAAATTAAAAGTTTAGGAAAGATTTTGGTGACCAGGAAAGCTGCGATGGTTTAGGAAAAATTTGTTGATATTTTTCTTTATAAATTTAAAAAAGATTTTAAATGATGGAATGGATTAAAACTGTGATTTGAAGAATAAGATTTAGTAGTTATCGATATATCTTATTCTTANCCCGACATATTTATGGTGTGAAGAATTAGTTGTTCTTCTATGGTTTCTTTTCACCTCAAGGACAAGAGGTTATTTATAGTATCCTGGCTTTAGTTCAAGTTATCCAATTGAATAGGCTAGACTGTAATAAGTCTATGATTAGACTCAAGAAAAACACTTTGTTTCTCTCTAGTTCATTACAGACCGTTATGATTATTACTATTATAACTTGAAATATTTTTACAAGCGGGGCAGCCTTTAAAAGGTCGGACGGAACCAATTAAAATTTTATTTTTAAATGATTGAACTTCAGATTTTGGTTCAGATTTGGGCTAATTAACAAACAAACCATGGCTATTTTAAATACAGATTGTTTAAGTTGGAACTTGGAAAAGTCTAACAATCTGATTTAATTTTCTTTAAAATAAAGAAAAAAATCTTATTTCAAGTTTTTGTATGTTTGCACTTGTTCCTTTTTCTTTGGTATATTATGATGGTGATGTTCTAAAAAGATTGACTTGGACGATTTAACTTGAATGCGTACATTAATTTTTGCGTAATTTAGAAGAAGAATACGCAAAGCGTAGCGTTGATCTTGACGCAAGTGAATCAGAGGAAGAAGAAGACGACAATTACAAAATCCAGCCGCAAAACAACGCCAAAGCAGTAACTCTTGCACCCACTTCTACAAGGGAGATCTCAGAAGAAATGGCCTCAAAATCTGTCCAAAGCATCGGAGGCATTGAGGATGACGCACAGGTCAAGCCTCCAACAGGTTCGGAGGCTGAAAAGCCGAACTCTGATTCAAACAAAAAACCGGAGGCGGAAGATTTTTCAGGTATTTCTTTTTAACAAATCAGATCTTTCAAACATGAAATGTTTTCAAAAGGTTTTCGTCCCCAATTACATAAAAATAGTGGAAAAGGATGAGTCTTTGTCACAAACTATGATTTTCTAATCTCTATATCTTTGTAATCCAATGCCGTAGACCTTAGATATTTCAAACTATGAATTCTGCTAGATGAAAAAATTTAAGTTTGAAATATCAAAGGTTTACACCATCAGGTGGAACAAAATATAGGTATTAGAAAATCAGAGTTTGATACAAAGATTCAATGCCTTTTATCTGTATTTGGGTTCTGGATATGCTATAGATAATACATATATGTGTATTGCAGATTTCAAAGATATATGGAATACGAAAATTACGATATGGACGATGTGGACTTTAAAAAAGCAATTTTTTATCCATCATAATTTTCAACGTGTTAAAGGCAATTCAAAGAGAATGTCAGATTTTTCTTAAATACAAAAATTTAGCGCACAAATGTTTCATTTAACTGTATGAAAATGGTTGATATTAAGATCTGGACCTCAAGGACCCCCAGTTGGAGTTGGCCGCCACTAAAATACAGTCAGTCTTTAAAGGTATTTTATCTTTACAACTAACGTAAAACTAACTGAGTTGGAATATTTTCATAATTTGATCTCACATTAAAATTCCTTTTACACTCTAAAAAATGTCAATTCTATTTGCATCCCACACTCTATTCAATCTATTCATTAACATTTGAAGAATTGTGCTTCTAAACTGAATTTGGTTCTGGTGCTCCAACACATTTTTAGAGATGAAAATTTGACATTTCTTTGAGTGAATAATGTTTTAAATTCATATATTATTTATTTTTGAACCTTATTAGATTAAAAATACGAAAATAAAACAAAATAAATATTAATAAACTATAAATTATATTTTATAACTAATAATATTTCATACAATTAAACCCTAAATGAGCCAAACATCGAAAGACTTGGCAATTTTTTAATAATATTTTTTACTATTTTACATAAATCTCAGTATTTGCGAAAATAAATAAATAGCCATGAATATGCGGGAACAGTTTTAAAGAGCTTCATATACCCAAGTAACAATTTTGCGGAAAATCCGCGGAAATTCCCAGGAATCTTTCACAGGAAAATCCGGTGAAAATGTCGACAGCTTTTCCCAGGAATTTCTCGTAACTCATTCCGAGGAACCAGGTCCGAGGAATTTCTTGTAACCCATTCCGAGGAAATTCTCGTAACTCTATCAAAGGAATTTCTTGTAACCAATTCCAGGAAATTTCTTGTTTTCCAATTCTTCAGAAAAACCAGAGAAAATTTGTGGAAATTCTTGGGAATTTCTATCGAAAAGGTCTTCAGAACCAATTCCTGGGAATTTCCTGGGAACTATTCCCAAGATTTTCTCAAGAGTTCCTCAGGAATATCTTGAAATATTCACTTACAAAAGTAGTGAATAACTTAACAACTATATAGCCCCTCCAACTTTTTAGAAGTATAACCATCTTCTTAAGTCAGAATGTTATAGTCGTTTTTGATCTTACTGAAGTTGTCATGTATTTTGTTTATTCAGACAACTGAATTGTCAAGAAAAAAAAAACATGTTTTAAAATTTTTAAATATTTTTTTAAAAGATGGTTCTAAAGTAAATTATCATTTTTTATCAATAAGGATGCAAAGAAAAAAAGATTTAGTTTGGGCAGTGCATAAAAGAAGAGAACCTAAGAGACACCTATTGGTGAAAAACGGAACTTGAAAATTCTGTGAATTCTCTGAGAATTTCTCAGGAATTTCCGGAGAAATATTCCTGAGAAATTCTTAGGAATTTCTTGAGAAAAATTCCTGAGAAATTCTCAGGAATTTCTCGAAACTTATTCTTTTATCTAATTCCCCTAAAAATCCGTAAACTTGGTGACCAAGTTCTAAGATTTTCTCAAGAATTTCCTGAGAAGCATTCCGGTGAATTTCTCAGGAATTTCTTGGTGTGAAATACCGGAGAAATTCCCAGGAATTTCTCGAAACTAATTCTTTTATTAAATTCCCCTTAAAATCCGTAAATATGGCGACCAAGTCCTAAGAATTTCTCAAGAATTTCCGGAGAAGTAGTCAGGAGAATTTCTCAGGAATATCTTGGGGTAAAATTCCGGAGAAATTCCCTGGAATTTCTCGAAACTAATTCTCTTAATAAATTCCCCTAAAAATCCGTAAACATGGTGACCAAGTCCTAAGAATTTCTCAGGAATTTCCGGAGAACATTTCTGGAGAAATTCTGAGGAACTTTGTGGGGAAAAATTCCGGAGTATTTCTCAGGAATTTCTCGAAGTTGAGTCTCAAAACTGTGATCCCACAAAAATCTCTCATCTTGGGGACCAATTCTTGGGAATTTCTCGAGAATTTCCGAGGAATCAGTTACAGGAAATGATTCTCGAGAAATTCCTCGGAAATTCCTTAAAGAAAGTCACTACGGTTGGAGAATCTGGGGAAATTCCTCACTTTTGTTACTTGGGTAATATTTAATCAAAAAACTAAATGTCTGCAACTTTCCATTATTAGAAAGTGAAGAATACGACATTTGATGAATTCTTTCGATGTATGGCTTAATTAGGGTTTAACTGTACGTTATCACATCTTGCTTTTTATTTGTTTTTTTTTATTTGTGTTTAATGAGAGTATAACGAGTAAAATATTTGATCATTTCAGCGCTTTCTTACTTAATATTGCTTTTTTATGCTGCTTTTTTTTGTTCCGAGTTTTTGTTAATAAAATCTGACAGATGAACTTAACACTTGCCACAGATTGTAATTTTCAATTTTTTCAACTATGAATTACTTTAGATCATATACAGGGTGTCCCACGAAACATGATAGTTGGTGAATAGTTTAGAAAGTCATCTTCCATAATTTGCTAAGTTGTTTGATACCAAAGACATTAATAAAAATATTATATGAGAGTTATGTTAAAGTAAAATTGATAAGAATTTGTTTACGAAATAAACTGCAAAAAGCCTTTGATATCTGATACAATATATGGAAGACGACATTTTTAAAAATTTATCTACTTTCATGTTTCGTTGGACACCCTGTAGTCTAAGCTTAAAATATCAAAGCTGGGTATACTCCATCATAAAAATAAATTGAAGGGATTAGAAAACTAGAGTTTTTGGCAATTTTTAAGTTCCTCTTTTAACCATTTTTTTTACCTTTTTTTTTACTGTTACAATTTTGAATTTTAGGTCGATTTGGACGTAAGCAATAAGTCCCCGATAAACTTACTATGAATATAGTGAGTTCCATATATTGTATTAATGTAGTAATAGAAACTTACTATGGATATAGTGAGTTCCATATATTGTGTTAATGTAGTAATAGAAACTTACTATAAATATAGTGAGTTCCATATATTGTGTTGATGTAGTAATAGAAACGTTAACAAGCAAAAACGAATCTTTTTTTGAAGTAATTTTAACCTTTTTGGATGTCCTTGACACCATTTTGAGATTTAAAATTTAACAAATAATTATTTGATTCTGTTTTGCAAATTACTTAATAGTTTCACATTAGATGTTGTCATTATTTAGATAGTTACAAATGCACATTTTAAAACTAAACTAAAAAACGTATGGACAAAATTTATGTTCGTAACTATGAATTAAAACTAAAAGGTTCCATTTTAGAAAGGTTAATATTATTGAACTTAAATATGGAAATTTTCAATATAAAAATTCATACATCAAATTAAATTTTTTTAAGGAATATATGCACAAATTAGACCCTAGTGTAGTTTTATTAAGGACATTATCTCTTTTATAAATTTTTATATTTTTATTCATCTTTAAAGCCTCGTGTCATTATGGACTTTTGATATTTCAAATTCTGGTAGTCTATAACCAAGTAACCAAAGTTTGAAATGTCAAAGGTCTACGGGTGACAAACATTAACGGCTTCGAAATTTAGTGTTTGAGGGGAGAATTCAGCTCCTTATATTTTGTAGAGGATAACATTTTATCCCAATTCTTCTCGTTAATATTTTTACAAGCTAACCTTGTTAAATATGGATTTAAGTATTTTAAGAACCAGAACCAGAAAACTTTGGTATAGGAAGACGACTTTAAGACTCAAGAATCAGGATTTCGGTTTTAAAATATTGCTATTAATGTCGTCCTCGTCTCCCATAGTTTCCTGGTTATCACTTTTTAAAGCAAAATATTTTTTTTTCAAGTAATCCTCTAATTGTACGTCTTGTTAAAAGTACAGCTCAATTTTTAGCTAGTAAGAAATGGTAAGTTTGAAATGGTACCGTACCGTACCGTACAACTTTACAAATATTCACTTGAAATTACGTTTACGGGCCCTTTAATACGAAATTTGTTCGTTGATATTAATTTATGTTGTTTTGGAAGATTTCTAATTTGAATATTATTTTCAGGATTCCAGGCTCGTAAGAAGAACAATCTTCGTATTTAAATCATTCCAAAATCTCGAGTTCTAATTTATCAACTGAAAGTTAATAAAAATAAATTTCAAATTATTTTTGAGTTTAATATTTTCTAGAGCAAAGATAGTTAACGCGACTTTAAGATCGTTTTCACAAAGAGTTAGTTTTAATTATAAGTCACTTTTTTGAAAAGCGATTTGATCGTTTCGTTGACGACGAAAAATAAAACTTTAAATGTAACGATCGTTTTTTAAATAAAAAAATGTAACATGTTTTGAAACCGTTGTTATATTCAAGATCTTAAAAAGTGAAGCGTAGTGTCTAGAAGAGACCTTACAGTTATGTTGAGGTTTGTTAATCGTTTTTTTTTTACTTGCTTTTGAAAAAAGTTAAAACGATCTATCCTTAGTTATGTTAACGAAATAACACAGTAAACCTAATTCATGGACCATATGTATATGTATCCCGCAATTAACCCGTCGATTTTACCGAGAAACTAACTTTTTGCTATTTAAATATGCCCTAGAAATCTGCCAAAATCCTTGATCAGCATAATATTTAATATTTTTAATTGACAACAGTTAATAAAATTTAATGTTATCACGCATTTGCTTTCGATGTAATTTCTCCTAGGTTAACAAGAAAAAAGGTTGGGATTGGATATTTTGCATGATGTTCTCTTAAAAACATTAGCTATCAAAAATGTATTTTTATTTTTTAATCGTTGCAGAAGAACAGGATGAAAAGCGGACATGCATTAATGTTAATTTGGAATAAAAACTTTTTAGCCACCAATATTTTCTGAAATTACATGGTTCTACGCAATCATGAGGTATCAAAAAACAAATTTTTTATAGAGATATTTTAAAAAATTCATTCAAATTTTTATTATTACCAAAAAAGGTTAGATCATCAAAATCTACCGTTTAAGCGTATTCGAGAATAATGAAATGAACTCTTTTTTTTACAAAGATTTTTATTATTCAGAATAAATTATCTTTAAATAAAAAAAAATTATCTAATTAATTTATGATTAGAAAAAAAATGCTTAAAATCCGCCAAACCCAAAATTTCAACCCTAACTTAGAAAATTCTAACATATTCCAACATATCTTTGGAAACATGACAAAATTTGGAATGTGAGAAAACATTCTACAAAATCCGAAAAGATTCTACGATATTTAAACCGAATTTTACATAAATATCCACAATTTAACTTTCTAGCAAATTGAAAAGCATTAAAAAACATCATTCTACAGAAACAAAACAAATTCAAAATAGGACGAAAGGTGCACGACTACAATATTTGACAAAGTTTAATCAATGCCAACAAAAACTTGACTTTTTTGCTGTGAAAAGGACAAAATCTAAGCAAAATCAACAAAAAAACGACATAAAATTAAAATTCATATAATTTTCAGAAATTTATTTGATTTGAGTCAAGTAACATATTTACATATCTAGGTTTAAGTCATGAATACACAGGCTTAATTTGTAAATAGTATTCTGTACATTGTGTACAATGTACATTGTACAACGTACTTTCATATAAAGGAATAATCACAGTAAGTTTGCATAAAAAGATCTCAACTGAGCCTCGAGGGCCTTGGTCAAATCAGTTTCAGATTCATCTATTTTTGAATTCATATTCGCGGGTTTTCTGTCAGATTGTGTTCTGAGCGCTGATGTAAATATCTCCAGCTGTTTTCTAACAGAATTAACAACATCTTTCTCGTAACCTAAACACCAAACCAAATATTAAAACAAGCGCAAAGTACAGAGCACCATCATGCAATACAGTCAAATAACAATTAATACAAATTTTGGACACCCCTCCCCCTTTCCAGGATCTGATCATAAACATTAAAAAAAGAAACATTCGCAACTAGCAAGTTTTAGTGGATAAAAAAGCCTAAGTAAACTAACCTGCTTTTTCCGAGTACTCTTCCTCAACCCTTTGCTTCAGACTCTGCAGCTGGTCTCGTAGAGTTGCGTTTAACTCTGCAGCTAAACATTAATTCAAATTATGTTTTATTAAAGAGAATGTAAGTGAAATTTGAAGTGACCCTCCATGCAAAAATGGCAAATCCCGATCTACCTTTTTTGCTCACAAGAAACATTAAAAAAAACATAGAAATAATACCTTTTAAGGCATACAAACGACGCGATCCTCTACAGTATTAATCAGATAAAGGTTTAAAGGGTACCGTTGTAAATCGACACGACTATCTTTACTTGAAGGGTCATTTGCATTACGCTTACAATCCCTTTAATGCTCTAGGACTGGACACATTTCATTTAACACAGAGAGAACCCTAAAATAGAATAAACCGGAGTGATACTGGTTTTGTTTATTTTCCAGCATAATAAAACCTTAACCGGAAATATACAACCCGTTAAATAAAACTCGATTGCATCGAACAAACGAATTTTATGAAAAAAACAAACACTTAAAATACTTAGCTTTAGTTAAGTTATTTTCCTACGCTTCCTTTATGTTCCTTCCGTAGAAATTTGCTTATGATTAACCTGTTTTCAAAACTAATATAAGATGTAATTCATACTTGATCAGAAAAAGCTTTTAAGAGTTGTGAATTAGACATTACCATCTTTGTATTGGGTTTTACGTAAAATTACGCTTACAGTCCGCTTAAAACTAAATACCTAGTTTATCCTGCAGCTCTTTCTTAAGATCAGCACTAGCTTCAGAAGATTCAACACTTCCACCAGTTTTGTAAAAGTTCCTTAAAAAAGAATTGCTGAGTACTCGAATGTGAATATAATTCCTTAAAATAACGTTCTGAATGAAACACCAGAATACTCCCCGGAAACCTGCAGATTTTAAATGATAACCCCAAACATTTCATCGGAGACCAAGCTTTTCAATATAGACCCCGCTTTTTCTTCTAGATTTTCATCAAAGACCCCAAGATTTTCATTGGAGACCCAGTTGGAGTTTTGGATTGGGTCTCCACTAAAACCTTGTGTTCCATAAAGAAACCTGGAGGAGTCAAAAAAAAAGCTTGGGGTATCCGAATTCAATTATTGGCATCTTTGACCTGTTTTGTTACTCTGTAAATCTTAATTGATCAACATGATAACTAAAATTACCTCAAAGATTTACTCGAGATCCTCCTTCCTGGAAAATATCTCATCACATTTGCAGCTTTAGCAATTATATTACGATCCTAAAAATATTAAAAATGAGTTTTGTATTGTTTAATAATGCTTTAAGTAAACAGTCTTTAAAAATCTGTAGGAGCTAGTCTAACGATAAGACGATTAAAAGAATCCTAAGTCTAGAAATAAACACTCTTGTAATGTCTGACTAAAGGGAAAAAATCTTTTAAAAATTCTGAGTCTACGGGACCACTCTTAGAAATGTCTGAGTATAGTGGAGCACTATGGTGGAATAGTCTTAAATGTCCTGAGTCAAGTGGACCAATCTTGAAACTGTCTGTGTCAATTAGACTGTGCTTGAAACTGTCTTGTTTTAAGCTAGTGTAGATTCCAATATTAAAATTCCCTTAAATGCTGAATAATAAAGTTCCTGATATCCAATTTAATAAATGTATATTACAAACCTCTAAAGCATTAGTTATAATCTGACTACGAAGAGACGCCAGGAGTCCCATCTTCAGATCTTCTTCCACTTCCTCCACACTCTCTTCCTCAATATCTCTAAAAATAGTAACTTTAAGTGCTCGTGGTATGTCTGTTCCACAACTTTACTATTTAAACCTATGTGTCACTGCAAAAAAGGCTTACATATGTATGCTGGTAAAAAAATAAACAAATTGCCAGAATTTATTACTTTTCTGAACCAAAACAACTTGTTTAAAATGTTAACGAAATTATAGCTATAATAGCTTTAAATTAATCTCAACTTCAAGGTTTAAAAGCTTCTCTAAAAGTATTAAAATGAAGTTTTACCCGTTTTTATCATAGTAGCTTGAGAGCACCCTATGCTTAAAGTTTTTAGCTCTGTATGCTCTTGTCGACGTAGAAGTTGAGGTTGAGGCTACCTCTGTTGTGGAAGCAGCATTTAAACCTAAAATAGAAATTTAGACAAACGTTTCATCTTATAAAATTAGTTGAAGATGAACTTTAAACAATTGAGTTTACCTAATTGTCGAAATATTTGTTCAAGTAAGTCAGGAAGTTGTTCCAACTTTGAATCTCCAAGAGTTGCCATGGTTAACTGCTTTAAAAGTTGCTTAGACATATTCAGAAGCTTTTCTGAAGAACTTTCAGTGCTGATCACACTACTTTCAGAACTTCCAGGGTCTCTACTAGATGTTGTCAGTAGTTGCTCAAGATCAGATTCAATGCTAACGTGGTCAGTTTCTTCTTGGAATTTGCAGTGAGATATGTGTGATGTGTTATTTTCACATGGCACATGATTTTGTAAAGAAAGTTTGTCCTCAAAGGATTCATACATCTCAGCAGATAATGTGGAATCTTCAGTAGTAGGGATTAATATATAGTCAACATCATTTTCATTATCTGTGACATATAGGGTATCTTCAGTCATATCAGCTTCATAATATAAGCTAAGAGTAACATCTTCAGAGACATCTTTCATATCTTCAGAGACATCATAAGTATCTTCAGGAAAGAATGTTGTTTCATCAAATATGTTGGTGGTAGCTGTAAGATCATTAGTGATATCTACAGAGTTTATAGTGAAATCAGATGGGTAAGATGTAAACATGAATGGTGCTGATGTGACATTTGTATGCAATGATGTGGCATCTGTTGGCAATGATGTGGCATCGGTTGACAGTGATGTGGCATCTGTTGATAATGATGTGACTTCTGTTGATAATGATGTGACATCTGTTGATAATGATGTAGCATCAGTTGACAGTGATGTGGCATCGGTTGGCAGTGATGTGGCATCTGTGGAAGCTGATATGGTGGCAGGTGTTGGAAAGACATAAGAAACCGTAGTTAGTGAATTGCTTTTTATAACTATATTCTTATTTTGATTTGAGCCAACCAAAGTTGGTATATCATTTAATGAACTTTTTAAAAGATTTTTCTTGTCTTTCAGGTTTGAATCTGTCTCTAAAATACAAAAAAATTATGAATTGAAAGATTGTATTTAGGTAATAAATTGTATTGAGCCTCTTACCTTTAGAGTAGTTTGCAAAACCAAACTTCATTTTAGTTTTAAAACCATCACGAAACTTGCCAAGGCCTTTTCTCAATTTGAAATTAAATTGATTTTTCTCTCTATTGTTCACAGTGGCAGTTTTATCTGAACCAAGAACGGAAGACTTGGTTACCAAACCAACAGATTCTCCAGATAAATCTGAAGTTGACTGTGGTGATAAAGAAACTGGTAAATTTGGACTGTAATGCTGGTCAGGTGATTGATCAATGCTAAATGGATTCAGTAGTATTACATCATAATTATATCTGGACTTGACAACACCAGAAGGTTGCACAAAAGATTTATTGTCAAGTTCAGCTGGAACCTTAATAATCTGCTGTGATGGAGCAGACAAATTGGATTCATCATGAGAATTTACAGGAGGCTTTTGTATGGGTAAAAAAATGAATTTATTTCCATGATAATTTGATGCATCGGCAGCATTTTGCTTAGAATTGAGAAAATCAGACCCACTGTGGTTTCTTGAGAACATGGATACAAATAGCTCCTCAGTTACTTCAACCTGAAACAAAAAAAAATATGTTAAAAACAAATTTCAAAATTACTGCACATCAGCTTACCTTTGAGTCTGATACTTCCAAAATTCCATTTGTTATCATATCATTGATCTTAACATCAGTGACTTTATCGTTCTTCAGAACCACTAAATGGTTGAGATTTTCTGAACCAAGCTCAGCCATTGTGTGCATCAGGTCAGTTTTTACTGTTTTTAACATGGCATCAGAATTTATCTCATAATCATCATTGTTGTATAATGGTAGAAGACTATTCAAAAATGATGTCAGCATCATGTCAAAGCTAGATTTTGCCATGGAATCATATTGAGTGTCATTGGGCTTTTCATGTGATGCATCATTTTGATTTGTAACCTGAGCGTCTCCAAAACTTTCAGAAGATGAATCTTGTAACACTAGGTCATCTAAGAAGTTGTCCAGAATATTATTATGATCATATTCAGTTGGGGTTTTTTCTATTTTAGCTACGTAGTTGTGGTGGGGTATGTTAAGATCTTGTATAGAAATAACAACAGGCTTTGCAGGTTGTCCAGAAAAATGACCATGCCTGAAGTCTTTTTTTTCTGATTTTATACCATCTGGCCTAATGTTTTCTATTATTGGTATTGTTGTTTTGGGGTTTTGTCTGGCAATATCTGCACCACTTGAAGTTTCAGCTGATCTTGGGATTGCTACAGGTCTTGAAGTTCCTTCAGATCTTGGGGTTCCCTCTGGTCTTGGAGTTAATGCTAGCCTTGGTGTAGTTACTGGTCTTGAAGTTTCTCCTGCTCCTGGTACTGCTGCTATTCTTTGGGTTACTTCTGGTCTTAAAGTTGCTGCTGATCTTGGGGAGTTATCTGTTCTTTGTGTGTTTACTGTTCTTGGAGTTACCACTGGTCCTGAAATCGCTAAAGACCTTGGAGTTGCTAATAGTCTTGGAGTTGCTCCTGGTCCTGGAGTTGTTACTGGTCTTGGAGTTGAAACTGGTCTAGAGGCTGCTCCTGATGATTTGATTTGTAATGGTCTTGGAGTAGCAACTGGTATAGTTGCACTTGGTCTTTGACTTTCCAGTGGTGTTAAAGTAATAACTGGTCTTGAGGGGGTTGCTGAGACATCAGTAAGCATTGAAGCATTCAAGTGCATATATGTATCAACAGGTTTATGCACATCTTTAGTTAAAAGTATTTCAGGTAGAGAACCAAGTTTGCCCTGATTCAATACGTTTGGTTTGATGTGGTTTTTTGCTTCAGGTTTGATTCCCGATAGAAGTTTTTGTTCCGAGAAAAGAGTTTCAATGAAAAAATCGATTATTTCTTCCTTCTTTTTCATAGCAATAATCATATCCTCCATATGTTCAGCATCATGTATTGTCATATCAAGGTTGTTAGCAACGAAGGCAGAAGCTGCAATAAGAGGTTTATGATCACTTCTGCCATCTGTGATAGGAGAAGAAGAAGCAACAGAGGAAACAGGATTACCATAAGAGAAGATTTCACTAAATAAACAAGTATTCAAACTAAAAGACCAATTCTTATGAAAAAATGTTTTTTTACCTAAACTGGACAATTCTCTCTTGGATATTTGCTTGGAAACTTCTAATCTCCAACTTTAACAAAACGCAGTCATATTTTATGAAACCTTATTTAAAGATATTAAAATATGAAAATCGCACTTGTACCTCTGTTCTGGGTACCCTATAATACTCTTCTATATTCTTCTGAATCCCAGAAAAGAACGTAGTTGGATTAATCATCATTTCTGCCCCTGATTAGATTAAGATATATTTGTATTTTTTTACTCGATTGTTATGTTCTAATAATCTTGGGACATTTTTTGGTATTTGAACACTTTTTGATCAAATGCAATTTATAAAGTATGAAAACGCAAGATCAGAAAGCTTAAAGTATCTTCTAATCCTTTAGATTTTAGCATTACAAACCTTTAAAGAAGTCGAGTCCATGCTTCTGAATTCCAGGTTCCAGGTGGTGAATCATCTCATGAGAATCCGTACTTAAACTTTAATCACACATTTATTGTAGCAATGAAAAAAAGGTTTACAGTCCTAAATAACTTAATAGACTTGAAACATATTTTGATTTTTGATATATTTTGTTCTAAGAAAACTTTAGATGCAAATAAATACAGTTTGTCAATTTTCCCTAGTAAGTATTTTGCTTTAAATATACATTCAAATCTAAACCCTTACATAACTTTGAAGTTCCCAGCCATAAAAAAACTTGCCTCATAGTCTCCTGGAATTTTTGAGTGAACATCAATCCATCAGATATAACCTAACACAAGCGAGAATATTGTCAAGAATATTTAAAGATCATTCACGAATGATAAAGAGATTTCATTATCATCAAAAAAAAAGTATTTACGTCAGAAAATTTTCTCTTTTCTTTGCAACATTTACATTAAAGAGAATAGTAGCTGTTGGAGGGTGTAACCCATTTTTTATGAGTTTTAAAATTTAGAACTAAGATTTTAAATAGACATTACTTCAAATGTACTTTATTATTGGTTTGGCCTGTATTCTTTGCAATGTTACAAAAACTATCTAAACTAAATGTTTACCTTCACCATTTCCTGAGGGAAACTTCTGAACGCATTGTTTGAGGAAAGATTTGTTTCTTTATAATCCTCAAGGTGGGTGAGAGAAAAAGAGAATGGACTGATCAATATTTGTCTTGCATTTTTTTAACGTTTTTTAAAACGTTTAATATTTAAGGAAGAAAAAAGTACAAACGTCGGACCAGTACAAACGTCGGACCAGTACAAACATCGGACTAGTACAAACGTCGGACTGGTACAAACGTCGGACCAGTACAAACGTCGGACGGGTACATTTATAAGAAAAAACGTCGGACTTGGTAGATTTTGAATAGACCATTGTTTAAAAAAATTACAAACTATGAATTCTACAAGATCATACAGTTTAATCCCTATATCTTTGCAACCCGATGCTGTAGATGTTTCCAAGAACAGTTCGTGGACTTATTGCTATATTTCCAGAGCTTCCTTTGACTACTTGTTTTTCTATTTCACGTACTCTTTTCTTCAAAAGATCACTGTCATGTGAATACTCTCCCAAGGAAACTGATAATCTTGTCATTCTCAAGAATTGTTTTTCCTTTGAATGCATTGGTAATCGGTTTTGTTGGGTTTCTTCTTTGGAACCCTATATTTAATCTGATTTGATACAAGTAGGTGCCGTCCCCCCTGCTTGACCTCAATTCAAATATATTTTTTCCTCCTTAGTCCGACGTTTTTCCTTATAAATGTACACGTCCGACGTTTGTACTGGTCCGCCGTTTGTGCTGGTCCGACGTTTGTACTAGTCCGACGTTTGTACTAGTCTGACGTTTGTAAGTCTTATGTTTGTACTGTCCGACGTTTGTGGGTCCGACGTTTGTACTGGTACCAAGAAAATAGCTTTTCAAACAAGAACAGAAGAAAATAGCTTTCCAAACAAGAATATAAGAAAATAGCTTTTCAAACAAGAACAGAAGAAAATAGCATTGCAACCAAGCAAAATAGAAAGTAGTTTTCCAACCAAGCAAAATATAAAGTAGTTTTCCAAGCAAGAATAGAAGAAAATAGCTTTCCAAACAAGAACAGAAGAAATTAGCTTTCCAAACAAGAATAGACAAAAATAGCTTTCTAAACAAAAAGAAGAAAAAAAATTTCCAAACAAGAACAGAAAAAAATAGCTTTCCAAACAAGAATAGAAGAAAATAGCTTTCCAAACAAGAATAGAAGAAAATAGCTTTCCAAACAAGAAAAGAAGAAAATAGTTTTGCCACTAAGCAAAGAAGAACACTGATTTACAACCTAACATAGAAGGAATAATCTTTGCAACCAAGCAAAGAAGGACACATTTTTGCAGCCAAGCATAGAATAAAATAGCTTTGAAACCAACAAAGATCTTTGAAAAAGAGACATACAACTAAGCATTTCAGTAAAGAAGAAAATAACTTTGCAACCAAGCTTAAATTCATTTTTTTTTTAAAGGAAATGTAGATATTTTCAAGAGCTTAAAAAAGACAGATTTTCCTTTGGTAGGCAAAGATAAAAAACGTTATCCAGTTATTACATAATAACATGCAATAAATTATTCCTTAAGACATTGGTCAAATGGTTATAGGGTATCAAAGTTTGAACAGGGAAAGCACCATGAGAAGAGTGCTGTACATGCGGAGTAGTGTGCTGTTCATGCGGATTAAAGTCCGGTACATGAGAAGAAGCGTACTGTACCGGAGGAGTCGGGTAAACTGGTCTCTTGTATTCAACAGCCTATAAACATTAAACACAAATACAGAGTTTATTGCTTGCCCAACTAATGTCACAATTTGTTAAAAAACTACAAGCGGATTTTAGGGGCCTGAGGATTTGCATTGGAAAGAAAAAAATGTATTATAATTTTAAAATTTTTCAGTAAATTAGTAATTCCACTTCAAAGAAAATAAATGAAATTATCGATCCAATTACATTAACGCAATTAATATCAATTAAGTTCTAATCAACATAGAATATCATTTTATAAAAATCGAAAATAACTTTTTAACCTTGTTCTGGACTGGTTGAAATATTTGGTCAGGGTGAACTAGAGCCATCATAACATCATGAAAATTATATTCAACCTAAAATAAAATTTAGTTTTTATTATATTCAACTGGATTATCGTAATTTCAAACATTGGATGTGGAGATGGAATGAAGAAAATAAAAACAAAAATGAGAACAGTTACTGAAAAATTTACGACATAAGACGCAAAAGTGAACATAAGCTGTTAACTATGAACTTCATATTTTTGTAGTATAAACCTACCTCTATTGGAAAGAACCTCCTGGGATGAGTGCTCCGAGTACCTCTTGAACCAGGAGAAGGTTCAGGGAAGAATCTACTGGAATGAATACTCCGTGTACCTATTGAACTAGGAGAGGGTTCATGGAAGAACCTCCTTGGATGAGTGCTCCGGGTAGCTCTTGAACAAGGAGAAGGTTCAACCTTATATCTCCGGGATCTCAAGTAGTTAGGCTTTCCAAACCGCCTAACATTCAAACTAAATATAATGATGGAAATTAGATTAAATTAGAATATACTTAATATAAAACTTAAGAATGCTTATACATTAGATTTCAACTACAGTAAAACAAATCAAAAGATTAAAGCAGTACACGTCCTGACAGAGTAATATACCAGACTTGCAGTACCTTTTCCTGGCACAGTTCATATATTTTCATATTTTTATTCAACTACAAAGCACGAGGACAATGCAAATGAAAAATCACAATTCACATGTGGTTTGGACCCGCCTAACCAGAGTAGGTTGTTTTGATTGGTTTACTATACAGTGTACATTTTAAGCATAATAATGATAAATCAGAAAAAGGTAAGGTGGAGAGGAAGTATTAGGGAAAGGAAGGGTACTCAGCGGAAGGGTTGAAACAGAGTTAAGTAAAGATACCCAGGTATACAAGACAACAGTACCTGTCCTGGAATGGTTTTAAGTAAAAATACCCAGGTATACAAGACAACAGTACCTATCCTGGCATGGTTTTAAGTAAAAATACCCAGGTATACAAGACAACAGTACCTATCCTCGCATGGTGTTAAGTAAAAATACCCAGGTATACCAGACAACAGTACCTATCCTAGCATGGTGTTAAGTAAAAGTACCCAGGTATACCAGGCAACAGTACTTGTCCTAGCATGGTGTATAGTAAAAATACCCAGGTATACCAGGAAACAGTATTTTTCCTAGCATCGTGTTAAGCAAAGATACCCAGGTATACCAGAAAACAGTACCTATCCTGGCATGGTGTTAAGTAAAAATACTCGGGTATACAAGACAACAGTACCTATCCTGGCATGGTGTTAAGTAAAAATACCCAGGTATACCAGACAACAGTACCTATCCTAGCATGGTGTTAAGTAAAAATACCCAGGTATACAAGACAACAGTACCTGTCCTAGCATGGTGTTAAGTAAAAATACCCAGGTATACCAGGCAACAGTACATGTCCTGGCATGGTGTTAAGTAAAGATACCCAGGTATACAAGACGACAGTACATGTCCTGGCATGGTAATATGTAAAGATACCCAGCAATACCAGACAACAGAACCTGTCCTTTCACGGTAATAAGTAAAGGTATCCAGGTATACCAGACAACAGTACCTGTCCTGTCATGGTGTTAAGCAGATTATCCAGGTATACCATAAAAAATACCTTTCCTGGCGTGGTATCATGTAGAAATACCCCGCAATACCAGACAACAGTACCTGTCCTGGCATGGTGTTAAGTAAATTATCCAGGTATACCATAAAAAATACCTTTCCTGGCATGGTGTTATGTAAAGATACGCAGCGATACCAGACAACAGTACCTGTCCTGGCATGGTGTTAAGTAAAGATACCCAGCAATGCCTAACAACAAAATCAGCATCAGCTGTTCCTTCATCTTCAACTGCCTCACAGATCTGAAGTTGAATGATTATTCAATAAATTAACAAAGACAGTTCCAATTTACGGTTAAATAAATAATAAATTATTTAATTAATCTAGTCTTGTATTCTAGTTTATAATTTCAGGTCAGCAAAAACTTGCTTTAACTTTTGATTACATCGGTAAAGTATATAATTGCAAAAATATGTTTTTTGTTTCAAAAATAGTCGTTTTTAGTTTTACAAAGGCAAATTAAACTGTTAAGAATTTCTTTAATGAGCCCTTTCAAAGTATAATTTTGTAAGAAACCAAATTAAAAGTTAATTTCACCCTATTAATGGTTCTTCCTATTCATGTTTCATTTTTAATCCTGTCAACATAATTCTTCTGAAGAAGCCACAAAGAGATGCTTCATATTTTTTAAAATGTTATTTTCTATATTTTATATTAAACACCAAGACGGGCGGGGGGGGGAGGGTTAGCTGCACGTTCCCCCCTTCTCTAAATTGGCTAAAGAGGGGGGGGGGGTCTACGTTGAAACTTTGTAAAATTGAAAAAAAAAACAGGGAGAAACCTTGAAAATTTAACTAATTTCAGACTAGAGACTTTTAAACTTTTTTTTTACATTTTAACTGATACTGAACATCATTATCAATATCATCATACAAATTTTATCCATTTCAAAACATGCCCCCCCCCCGCACAGTATGTGCTGTAAAAATATGAAAGTTAGTTTTGTTACCTTTTGATTTTAGAGATCTGAATGATCACTACCTCATTTTCTCATTCACATTTAGAATAATCTCCCATTTTCATTGATTCACTTAAATTTCTATATAAGGATTTAAATCTTGCAGAACCAGATAATAACAAGTATGTTATAGCTTAAAGTGTTTAAACGATACTGACGGGGATTGTATACACCCTGTCAGTGTTTGTTGGTTAAAAAACCGGTTTTTGACATAACATTATGCAGTACACATGTAGTACGTAGGGGGGGGGGGACGTAAATAAACAAAAGAGTTTTTCGGATAAAGGGATGGTGTAGGCATAGAGAATAGAATATATAGAGAGGAATTTACTGGAAAAAAGTGTAAAACGGCCATTTTGTTGTACTGTTTCCATACTGCAGGTGTACTTCACATATTTATGCCATATAACCTGGTGGGCCCTGGAAAATCATTTTATAGAAAATCTAAAATTATTGTTAAAAGAAAACCAAATTATGAAATAGGTTGGTTTCATAATTGACCAATGATCATTTTACAATACATAGACTCTATGCCTTCCACTTTACAAACGATGATTTTCCGTTATAACTATAAATCAAATGATGTTTTTATTCACCTAATTCATTTTATAAAGTTTATTTAACAGCTTTAAAAAATTCGAAATTGAAATAGATAGTCTAGAGAACATACTGTATTAATGTACTCTACTGCATATAATTTGTGAACATTTACAAGATTTGTACACTTTAAACTCCCTTTCAGGCTGAAAGGGACTGAAAAAATTCATACCGAGAGATTCTTTTAATTCCTCTCTATATATTCTATTCTCTATGGGTGTAGGTTTCCTTTTAAAAAGTGCTTGAATCAGAGATAAGAGGGTATCAGATAGATCAAATGAAACCTATGAAATGCAATATTTTCTAAAGCAGTTTCTATTGTGTACAAGAACTGTACACGACCAATCAGCAGACATCTGTATTCAAGGTTATTTAAGGATCCTTTGGATATGACATACAAAATCATGTTTCATGTTAAAAATTGGAGCATTCCTTTAAAAGCTGTAAAACTTAAACCTTGAATGGTTATTACATGCAACAAGGGGGCTTTAGATGGCAGTCAAAAAACCTTTCATTAAACTGCATGTATCATGGCGTGCTGGGACAATTTAGGCCTTGTTGGCGTATCCAGGGAGCGTATTTGCACAGTCTGGTTAGCTGTGGTTTCAATCTTTGCACAGATATTTAGATAAATATAAAGGAAAGGTCGAATACAAATTCTAGTGTTTTACAAAACATTGAATTTATTTTTAGTTTGTTATGTCAGTTCATGTTATGGATCATTTAATGCTTAATATATACATTGAAAATTTGACAATATTTTTTTTTGAGGGTGGGGTGGGGGTGGGGGGGTTAAACAAATTAGATTATTTTATTGAACATCTGTAACAAGACAAAGTCAATTTAAATATATTTAATGTCTAAATTAATTTGTCCTGAGTCTAAAACTAAAGAACGAAAAGTTTTGACTTAAATTTTAAGTTCATGGTTAAATGCCACTTCTGACTTAATTTTAACCCGAGTCTAAAACTAAAGAATGCGCGAATTTTAAGTTCGAGGTTAAAAGTTCTGTAAAATAATGAATAGCTACTTAAATATTAAACTTTCTCAATTTTAAATTTAAATTTCCTGGGAAAAATCTGAATCAATCAGAGAAAAGGATTTAAAGAATTATTAAGTAAGTATCGGTATTTGGTAATCAGCTGTTTTTTAAATTTTAAGTTATTTACGTGACGGAAAGCAAAGCATATTTCCAGTTACAACCGTATTTTGGGTTTACGTGCAAACATTAATTAATCTAAAACGTGAAATATATTAAATTAAATATATCGTAATTAGTTGAATGCCGCTTACCGCTGAATGATGATAGACAAATAGGGATTGCGGGATTTCAAGATTTTAACTTGTCGATTTCGGCGAGTTAAATATTTAACCACAGGGTTAAATATTTCACCTCACGGTTAAAGTTCAGGTTTAAATTAAGTCAAATGTGGCATTTAACCATGAACTTAAAATTTAAGTCAAAACTTTTCGTTCTTTAGTTTTAGACTCTGAATCATTAAAATTGAATTTTATCATGAATATTCATCCAACAATTTGAAAATATTATTAATGTAAGTTCTGCAATGAATTTTAATTGCCTTGTAATTTAAATTTAGCTGTGTCTTGTTTCACAAGAACTTGAACAAAACAGATTTTAAAATTCAAATTTTACAAATAATGTGGTTTATTTAGACAAAATGTTCTTAATTTTCTTGAAAAATGACAAAATTATTGTTTTATGTTCATTGTTTATATACATCGTGTTTTTAATGATATATATCTCATAATTAATATGAAAATTGAAATTTGAACCTTTACATTGAGGATCAGTAGGACCAGGCCAGGGGATGTGGATCTGCGCACAGTTCGCAATCTTTTTCTTTGGAATCTTCCAGGAATAGATTTTTGAATATTTCGTTTATTTTCAATTACTGGTTACTTGAAAAAAGCAAAGTTTTTGTGAACAAAAAAGTGTTTAAGAATGAACGAAAAAAAACGAACGAAGGATGAGAACTAATGAAAAAAAATTGTTTGACCGAACTTAAAAAAACGATAGATATTTAACAGATTGAATGTTTTTTTAAACAAACTTTTTACCGAAAGAGCGATTTTATTGAAGAAACAATTTAGCATTGAATAAAACACTTTGACTGAAAGATGGTTTAGTGGGAAAACAAAGGAAGTAGATGAAAATGATATAACATTTTGAGCTCAACTAAATCTTTTTTTTGAATGATTAAAATACGAAATGTGTCTTAAACAAATGATGACCGAAAAAAAGTCGGATGCGCCCATCTCTATTGGTTACCCTGAATTTACAGATCCGGCTGTTGAGAAACTCTAGCAATTTTTAGTTTTTAAAATTTCAAAATATTTTACATTTTGTTTGATTGAACAAATTGTTATAGATCCCTCATAATCCGATCATAACTTGATCTCGATACTTCAGCCAAAAAATAGTGTTCATTATGTTTTGCGATAAAGAATCTGTTTGGAAAACTATGGAATAGGAAGACGACTGTTAGTCAAGTTTTTTTCCTTGGAAGATTGCTATTGGGTAGTGCACACAGCACACTGCATACATACACATGCATTCGTATATAGTGAATATTTCATAATATTTTTGATTTTGTTTTTTTTTAAATGATTTTCGCTGGCGCTGGATTTTCGAACATTCCTGGGAAATATGAAAATGTCGCCTTCATTATCAAAAATCCTCGAAACAGGAATGAATGCTTTCAAAAGTAACTCTCAGATCATGAAAAATACAAAATATTATGAAATATCTACTATTTACGAATGCGTTGAAAAATAATCGAAGACTATTGTTTGTGATATCTGAATTAGTCGTTTTTAACAATTTTCTCCTTATAGACGCAACAGCTAGAAGTAAGATTAGTAGGGATCAAAAGCGCTTTTTTATCGCATTAAGCCCATACCCCCTTTCATTTTTCGTGAACACTCCCTTTATACTAATGTGAATTGTGCATGTAAGATTGAAAACCTTCAGGTTTTAATTCTAACTTCTGTCTTTGAATTTACATTGAGCTAAACCAAAAATGAATTTCTAATATGTTTGTTACCAATAATATTAGATTTTCTCATAATTGTGCGTAAAATCAAGCAGAGAAGCACACAAGGTCACAAAGGTGTACCAGTAATGTTGCTTAAGTATGACCTTCTCATGTTTTCTAGCTTGCAGTGTCCAAAGTTCATGTATTTTCCCCATTCATACTAATTCGTATTTTAAAAAAATAAATAGATACCTTCCAAAAAATTTTATTGAATAAAGTAAGATTTGCAACGGAAAAATTGAGACGTCATACTGGAATGTATAAACATAAACTCAAATAAAGAAATCTACATTAATATTGATATCAAGATGTTTACCTTAAATAGACAAACAAATAACATGCTTGTGAAATAATCCCGTGAACTGGTTGTTAACTAGTTTATCATGATATACAGATAAAAAGAAATCTGTTAGGAAGTTGCATCGAAGACGTATCTGGTGGAAACTTCAGGACAGCCATATAAATCAGGTTAATACGGTTATATCAATACAGTGAAGACGACTTTTATTTCTGTTTTAGTTGTTTACACGCATTTTCGAATTATAAGTAAAGAGAATATTTTATAGCTAGATTCACTTTGGTTCCATGATTATATGTGTATTCTAGAAATCAAAATTAAAATCGAATGTCGTCTGCTTTGTATTGATATAAACGACGACGACTGTAGTAGTGACGCAATTTTACTATTTCTACATGCGATTTTAACCGGTGGCCAGCACAAATAAATTTTATACAATTTTTGTGTACTTTATCACTCGTGGTTGCTTCATGGTAAATTTCATCTTACACGTACCATACAGCAATCATCGTGCTCAAATGTCAAGTTATTAATTTTTTTTTGGTTGATTGACATCTTAAGGGACTGTGTAGAAGTAATTTCAAGTGCCCTTCATTAGTAATGTGAACTGTCCGAGTATCATTTTATTATTTACTTCCCTAGTCACAGAAAACTAATATTTTCATTTCTAAATACGACCTAAAAAATTTGGAATATTTAATCCGATTGGGCTATTTTTGTCTAATATAGATTGGGTAAGGAAGGGGTATTTTAACCCCCTCCCGCTCCATGACTTTGCCTTTATGATCAAAAAAGTTTTTTTTTTAGTTTCAGCGTTCTAATGACAGCAGTTTTAAAGTTATTTAAAAAAACCACATGGGGGGTGGGAAAACACCACCCCCCAATCGTGATAGGGTTAAAAGTAGAGCTGGCCACAATCCAACTTTTTCTATCTGTTTTGTTTACGGTTGATCCTACTGTTAAAAAAAGAAAAATTTCAGGTAGCCGTTATTTAAGAATTAATGGCACTAAACATATTTCGTTATGGTTGATGTTAATGACGAAGTCGATTACAGTTAACATTGTTAACAGTATGAACATGGAAGACAACATTAAAAAATATCAAAACATATAAAAATTTTTAAAAAGTTTATTGTAATTTTAAACAGAAAAAAAATTCACCTTTTTCAAAAAAGGATCCGTTTTGTTTTCGTTTTCAACCGTAAATTTTTTTAAATAACGGCCAATCCGTTTCTTTGATGATTTAAAGATTAACCTTGCCGTTTGTTAACAGACTCTTCTGTTTATTTTCGAAAACCTCCGTTTCGTTAACGGTACTTTGCACAGCCCTAGTTAACACTTAACAGATACTGATGCCACTCAAAAGGAGGATAATTTATTAAATAACATTTACTTTCAGAAAAATATAAAATTATAAAAATATTTTGTTGAATGGGAAAAATTCTGTGCTGAAAGATTGCGGTTTCTTTGAACTCTTTATATTTATAATCAAGGCAACCTTGTTTTTAACTGTATTTAATTGTATTCATTTTAGAAGTAAATAAGTAAAATTCACTTTGATATATTCAATAATTGTTATTTGTAAATTCAGCTGTTAAAATTACCGTTGATATTGTACAGAAATATTTCATTTTGTTATTTGATCTCTTTTAATTTTAAATATTTTATTTAGCAACAGAAATACCGCAGGCCTACAAACCTAAGGCTGGGAGCGATTACTCAGGTATTCATAGTGTTTTCTATTTCAACAAAATTTTAATTCTTTTTTATTTGGGGGTTGGTGTGAACGATTTCTTAGAGTTGAAACAGGGAATTTTGCTGCCTGGCAACAGTTTTCAGGGCCTATATAAAAAAATTTTGACACCTAAGTTTAATAGTATTGAAGATGGGGAAGTTTTTAACAATTTTAATTTTTTTTAAAAGTACGTCCAAACATTTCATTTTTGCCAAACATATTCATGAGCCACAAATTTTATTCTATTGTTGATTTTTTTCTGAAAACAATGTCCAGCCTTTTGACCTCACGTCCTATGCTCAAAACAATTTTAGCTTGAATCCATATTGACCATGCCTTTCCTGAAGCTCTTAAGATCAAAGGACTAACAATTTAAAACTTTACAAAACGAAGGAAGGAACCGAACTGAACTGAAATATAATGCTACACAGAGCTGGATGTGACCAAGGTATTAATGCAAGGAAAGTTAATTGCGGTTGTGTATACTCTGCGTAAAAATTTAGAAAATCCATAATATTTGTCGTAAAACATCAGTTAACCCATGTTTATTGACTGATGAGGATCGAGAGATCTGAAACAATTTGTATTAATAAATATGAAAACTGAGAAGCTGTTCTGATTATTGCTTTATAGTTACTCTGCGTATATATTGAAACTAGTTCTCTCTGGGCGGAATTTGTAAACAAGAACATGTGCATCAGTGTTCGTCTAGTATCCGAGGAAGATTAAAGCATTTACTTTTGATAATTCACATAATAGTTCCCTATGACCAGAATATTTCATAGATTATTTTTGTGAAAATAGATTCCATGTCAGGCTGTGGAGGCCTTCTTGTGTTTACTGTTCCGGCCCAAATCATTACACTGCAGTACAAAAATGCGTACATCTCTGAAATAACTTTCCTTGCATTAGTACCTTGGATGTGACATGCTGAACAAAGTTTACGAGACAATTATTCCGGATCAATTCCTTATATGCAATAATCATCCCGTAAACATTTTTAGAACTGTGTATTATCTTATTTGAAAAATAGGCTAAGAAAGGTTCCTCGTTTTTCAGAAGAGAAGGTCTTTACGGATCCAAATTGATCCTAAAGAAGTTTGAACCCCATTACAATATGTATTTTAAAAGTAGAGATTGTATACAAAAGGACAATGTTCCTGAAACAAGTAATTTAAGAAATATATCACCGTGGTGTTGTTTTATCGGAAAAATACGATAACCTCAAAAACTAAGTAATCAGAAGTATTTAGAGTATATTGTGAACATTTACCAGTCAAAGTAACTTGTTAGATGCTCGAAATCAAGGAGAATTGAACAGAAGGAGGAGGCGATAGGGTTTCCGTACACTTTGCTGTGACGTTTTTGGACTGCTGAAGAACTAGTTTTTGCGTAACAACAATAATAAAGATTGTACACAATAACACAAATGATAAACAGACATCTAGCGCATCTCTGGTGTTGGATGAAGATTCACCGTGTACTAACTCATGTTTGTTTACATTAGATCGGCTGCCTTTGTTATTGTTGTTACGCAAAAACTAGTTCTTCAGCAGTCCAAAAACGTCACAGCAAAGTGTACGGAAACCCTATCGCCCCCTCCTTCTATTCAATTCTCCTTGCTCGAAATAATCTGATAGATAGATAGACAAAAACCGTAATGCGTTTGATGGGTTTTACATTAAAATGACCAAGGTTATAAGGTAAGGAAAGTTAATTGCAGTTGCGTATACTCTGCGTACATATTAAAGACCAGTTCTCTGTGAGCGGAATTTGTAAACAAGAATAGATGCATCAGTTTTTGTTTAGTATCCAAGGAGGTTAAAATTTTGATAATTCACATAATAGTTTCCGATGACGAGAATATTTCATTGATTTTTTATGTGAAAGATGGATCCCATGTCAGACTTGTCTTGTGCTTACATTACGGCTCAAAGACAGTGCACTGCAGTACAAAAGATGTGTACACCTCTGAAATAACTTCCCTTGCATTATAACCTTGAAAATGACCAAATTGTCTGTACAAAATATCTGAGGGGGAAGGATTTGTCGCGCGCACTTACTTGAGTATCCCCCGCCCCCACCCCCCTATGAAAAAAATATCATAATCAAAGAAAATAGAATATATACATAGAGGGGAGTTTAGAGAATCTCTCGGTATGAATTTTTTCAGTCCCTTTCAGCCTCAAAAGGAGTTCAAAGTGTACAAATAATGTAAATGTTCACAAATTGTATGCAGTAGAGTACATTATATATATTATGTTCCCTAGACTATTCATTTCAATTTCGAATTTTTTAAAGCTGTTACATAAACTTGATATTGAATTAGGTGAATAAAAAACATAATTTGATTTATAGAGTCTATGTGAAATGATCATTGGTCAATTATGAAACCAGCCTATTTCATAATTTGGTTTTCTTTTAACATTAATTTTAGATTTATTATAAAATGATATTCCGGGGCCCAAAAGGTTATATAGCATAAATATGTGAAGTACACCGCAATATGGAAACAGTACAACGAAATGGCCGTTTTAAACTTTTTTCTAGTAAATTCCCCTCTAATATATATTCTATTCTCTTTAATCGTAATCCATCCCTGAATTTAAGAGGAAAGAAAAAAGAGTAGAAAAGGAAGAAAGAGGAAAGAAGAATGAGAGAGGAAAGAAGGAAGACAGAGGAAAGAAGGATGAAAGAGTAAAGAAGGAAGAAAGAGTAAAGAAGGAAGCAAGAATAAAGAAGGAAGAAAGAGTAAAGAAGGAAGAAAGAGGAAAGAAGGAAGAAAGAGTAAAGAAGGAAGCAAGAATAAAGAAGTAAGAAAGAGGAAAGAAGGAAGAAAGAGTAAAGAAGGAAGAAAGAGGAAAGACGGAAGAAAGAGTAAAGAAGGAAGAAAGAGGAAAGACGGAAGAAAGAGTAAAGAAGGAAAAAGTATTAAAGTAGGAAGAAAGAGTAAAGAAGGAATAAAGAGTAAAGAATGAGGAAAGAGTTAAGAAGAAATAAAGAGCAAAGACGGAAGAAAGAGTTAAGAAGAAAGAAAGAGGAAAAAAGAAAGAAAGAGTAAAGAAGGAAGAAAGAGAAAGAAGGAAGAAAGAGAGAAGAAGAAGTTAAGAGTAATGAAGGAAGAAAGAGTGAAGAAGGAAGTAAGAGTAAAGAAGAAAGAAAGAGTGAATAAGGAAGAAAGGGTAAAGACTGAAGAAAGAGGAAAGAAGCAGGAAAGAGTAAAGAAGTAAGAAAGAGTAAAGAAGGAAGAAAGGGTAAAGACTGAAGAAAAAGGAAAGAAGCAGGAAAGAGTAAAAAAGTAAGAAAGAGTAAAGAAGGAAGAAAGAGGAAAGAAGGAAGAAAGAGAAAAGAAGAAGTTAAGAGTAATGAAGGAAGCAAGAGTGAAGAAGGAAGTAAGAGTAAAGAAGAAGAAATAGGAAAGAAGAAGGAAAGAGTAAAGTTGGAAGAAAGAGTAAAAAATGAAGTAAGAGTTAAGAAGAAAGAAAGAGGAAAGAAAAAGGAAAGAGTAGAGAAGGAAGAAAGAGTCAAGAAGAAAGAAAGAGGAAAAAGGAAGAAAGAAGTAAATTCCTCTCTAATATATATTCTATTCTCTTTGATTGTAATCCATCCCTGAATTTAAGAGAAAAGAAAAAAGAGTAGAAAAGGAAGAAAGAGGAAAGAAGAAAGAAAGAGTAAAGAAGGAAGAAAGAGTAAAGAAGAAAGAAAGAATAAAGAAGGAAGAAAGAGTGAAGAAGGAAGAAAGAGTAAAAGAGGAAGAAGGAGTAAAGAAGGAAGAAAGAGTGAAGAAGGAAGAAAGAGTAAAAGAGGAAGAAGGAGTAAAGAAGAAAGAAAGAGGAAAGAAGGAAGAAGGAAAAAAGAAGGAAGACGAAAGAAAAAGAAAAGAGTAAAGAAGGAAGGAAAAGAAAAAAAGGAAGAAAGAGAAAAGAAGGAGTGATCAGAGAGAAAAAAATGGAGAATGGAAGAGGAATGGAAAAGGGAAAAGGGGAAAAAATAAGGAAAAAGAAAAAGAATAAAAAAGAAAATGAGAAGGAAATAAAGAAAGAAGAATGAAAGAGGTAAAAATAAAAATAAAAGGAAGAATGAAAAACAAAAAAGCAAAAAAAAGATAGATAAAAGAAAGAATGGAGAAGGAAAGAGGGAAGAGTGAGGGTGGAAAGAGGGAAGAATGAAAAAGAAGGAAGAAAGGGAAGAAGTAACAATGATAAAGAAAAAAGGAAGGAGGAAGGAGAAAGAATGAAGAAAAGAAGGAGGAAAGAAGAACGAATAAAAAAGAAAAAAGGAAAAAAGAAGTAGGAAATACGGCTGAATAAAAGAGTAAAAGGGTGAAAAGGAATGGTGAGGAAGACGGAAGAAAAAAGAAGAATGAAAGAAAGATTAAAGACGTATGTTTGGGAGGAAGAAATTGAGGATAAAAATGTTTTAATTTGTTTGAAAAAGCTTGCAGTCCTCACTGTTTAGTGTACACTTTTTTAGGTTTTCCTCAGATTTGGCTTTTTGGTTTGTGAAGTTGTGGTATTCTTGAGTCCTTGAATCAAACTCAAATTTTTCAATCTCTATATCTATCGAGTCTGATGGTATAAATCTTAAATATTTAAACTTAGATTATAAGCTCTAGCAGAATTAATATAAAAATATCAAAGGTCTACGACATTGGTTTGTTAGGAAATCAGAGGTTTGTGGTATAGACTCAATTCCTTTGATAAGCAAAATTCAACCCGCGGATTGAAGTGTGTGTGAAATTTTCAGAATTTGAGTTTCTCCTTTAAAATTGCTAACAATATTTACACCATTAAACACAACTAAAGCACATGACACAATTGGTTAATTGTGAACTTATGCATTGTGTAATTGTGAACTTATTTATTATGTAATTGTGAACTTAATTATTATGTAATTATGTACTTTTTCATTGTGTAAATGTGAACTTGTTTGTTGTGTGATTGTGAACTTGTTTATTGTGTAAATGTGAACTTGTTTATTGTGTAATTGTGAACTTGTTTATTGTGTAATTGTGAACTTGTTTATTGTGTAATTGTGAACTTGTTTATTGTGTAATTGTGAACTTGTTTGCTGCATAGTTGTGAACTTTTTACTGTGCAATTGTGAACTTGTGCATTGTGTAATTGTAAGCTAGTGCACAAGTTCACAATTACACAATGCACAAGTTCACAATTACACAATGAACAAGTTCACAGTTACACAATGCACAAGTTCACAATTACACAATGAACAAGTTCACAGTTACAGAATGCACATAGTTTACAATAACACAATAAACAAGTTCACAATTACACTATAAACATGTACTCAACAACACAATACACAAGTTCACAATTACACAATAAAAATGTACTCAACAACACAATACACAACTTCACAATAACACCATAAATAAGTTCACAATTACACAATGCACAAGTTCCCAATTAAACAATAAATAAGTTTCCAATTACACAATAAACATGATAACAATTACTTAAGGACAAGTTCACAATTACTTATAGCTGGGACAAGGAATAACTATTTTGTTGAATATATCTTTAATTAGATATGGGTGATAATTCAGCAATGATGGGTAGTGGTTATGCAACCACAGCAAGTGATGGTTATGCTGCCACAACAAGGGGTGGATATGGTGCCACAACAAGTAGTGGATATGCTGCCACAACAAGTAATGGATATGCTGCCACAAGCAGTGCTGGTTATACTGCCACAACAAGTGCAGGCAATCTAAAAATTTAAAAAATTTAAATCTTAAACTGCTCACATTTTTTATTCCTAACTTGCTTCAAATATCATTCACAAATCTAATAAAGTTTGATGAAATGACAATTTGATTAGTTCAAACTGTAACAGACATTAAGACATTTTTATTTTGTTACAGGTTATTCTGTATATTCTGGCCCAACAAGTGCTGGTAATACTGGTACAACCTTAGACCCAAGTCCAGGTAAACTTTTGATCTTTTCATCAGATGTAAACATAATCTCATTTCACATTAATCCTGATTCCTTTCTTTCTAATTATTTTTGACTTTGAATATTTGATGAGAAAATTTTTTAAATGTATGATTTATCATACATTTTATAATTTGTATATTGCTTATTTACTGGATTTTGTCATAACTATTTGAACTTTTGCAAATTTGCATTTTTTTTCAAATACAATAAAAATCACATATTTAGAAAACCATCTCATATTGCAGTGTTTAATTATACTTTTTTGGCTCAAGGTGCTAGCCCACCTATAACATTTTATATTGAAGTTTGCTGTTGAGTCGATGATTTAACATTACTTTCACAAAGGGCAGCACTTGCTTGAAACAGGAGACTTAGGATACCAAATTTCCCTTGCACCAATTGGGTCTGTCATTCTTTGATGGTTTTCTATCTAGTTCGTGATATAAAAAAAAAACAGAAACATAAATTTTCAAATATCTTTGTAATTATTTGACATAATATTCTTAGTTAAAGCCCATTCTGGAGGCCCTTCCACAGGTTCTTTAGGTAATCAATTGTTTAGTTTATATTTTTTGTATTTATGTAAAATTATAATTATAAATATAATTTTATTAACTTGTATTAACTTTTGATCAGGTGCTATGGATTTTTCAAAGCCAATCTGGATCTCTGGACTTTCTACTGGAGTAACAATTAAGAGAATAGTGGATGGAAATGAGTTTGTCATTACTGGTGATGGTGTTACTGCAACAATCAATGGATTTCCCATCACAGAAGCAGAATATAGCAAAGTTCTGAAAGGAGAGAAGATTACTGTTACAGCAGATGGAAAAGAGGTTGTGCTTGAAGCCAAGGACAAAAAAGTCATGTTTGATGGTAAATCATTTTCAAACGGGGAAAATATTTCAATGGAATCTAACACAATCAGAACCTCAGTCATTCCAACCTACAGCAAAGAGTCCTTGTCTCAAGCAACACCAGGTCACATCAGTTTTGCATTTTTTTAAGTATAGAAAATAAAGGAAAATTTGAAAATATTTTTTATTTCAGGAAGATTTGATTTTTCTTCATCATCTTGGTTTTCATCTCTTATAAAAGATACTTCAATTCTGCGTATTGTGGATGGAAATGAGTTCAGAATAACTGGAGATTCTACATCAGCCACAATCAATGGATTTTCTGTAACTCCAAAGGATTGGGAATCTGCTCTTGGTGGAAAACAGGTTACCTTACAGAGTGAGGATGGAAAAACAGGATTTCTTACTGCTTCTGATGGAGATGTCAAAATAAACGGAAAATCTTTGATTGGAGGTCATGTAATACAAAAAATGTCTCAGGTCATTTACAACAAGAATTCTGATGATGAAGCTGGAAAGGAGGCTGTTGTAACACAGGTAGCACAGTGAAGGAAATTTTCAACAAAAAGTAGTTTTGACAAATAATTCTTTTATTTTCTTGAAAAGTCCTTCTTGGACCTGGCACCAAATTTAATGAATTAGAGCTATGTCATTGAACTACCAACAATTGGTTCAAATTTGAACCACCAATTCAAAATTAAAGATTAAACAAAGATTTAAATTGGTGATTAAAATTTGAACCAGTGGTAGGATGTTTAAATTTATTAAACTCTGTTTATATTATTTTATTTTACCCTGTCTTAACTTGATTGTTGATAATTCTATTTGTATTTACACATAATTAGTTGTCAGAACCTTGCAATTTAGGCAGTTGCCCAAGGAAGTTACAAGCACTTGTCGCGTTAATTACAAGAAGAAAGAGATTAGTATATATTTAAGGGTTAGCTTATGTTAACACACTTTCTGGACTTAGTGCTACAGCTAGAACAGGATAGGGGGCTAAGCGCTGCCACTAGTACCTCTCTGTCTTGTAATTCATTGTGGCATGCAAACATAACTTTCTTGGGTCTCTGCCTGTAAATCAAGCTTTACAATATTTTAGTAAAAGATTACAATATTTAGGCAGCAACTGAATCAAACGGTGATGAAGTCTTTCTAACTGAAGATGATGAGATAGGTAATTACTAGCAAAAATATGTGGACACCTTAATTGCAGAGAAGAATTTTTTTTAACATGATGCTTACTTTTTTATTTTAAGTTTAAAAGAAAATAATTTGTTAAATCAAGAGAAGGTTGTGAAAAGTAAAAAAATAAAAATCATTAATGAAAATTTACAGTACTTTTACTCAGTCAGTGATGGAAAATCCTTAAATGTCTCTGTAAGATAACTGATATCTAAGTCATGTCTTTCAGTACTTCAGTCCAAAACTTTTTTTGTTATGTTCTAGAATTATTTTTTAAACATGACAAATTTTTAGTTGTTGAATATGAAGTAGAAGATGTGGAATCACCATCATCAGGTAGCAAGGGATTCACCCAGTCTAGATATTGTATAAAAGTATTAAACATTGATACAATATAAATTAATTGAATTCCAAGGCATAAATATAAAAAATGTACAAAAAGACTAAACACTTGCCTAACATAGGTTTCAGGTAAATACACAAATTTCTTTTGATTGTACAAATTTACATAGAGTAGTTATAACGCACCATTAATAACTTAATTAAAATTTGAATAGATTCTGTTTGTTTAACAGCAACCTCTGGTTAATATTAAACTATTTGGAACTCTATACAAATCCTTTCAAATTACAGGAGGAGGAGATGGTTCTAACAGTGACTCTGAAGCTGGCTCAGAGACAGAAAGTCTTACTACAAAGTCTGTAGCTTATTCTGGATCTGAGACATCCAAATCATCTCTTACAACTTCACCCTATCCCAGTACAATCAGTGCTCTGATAAAGGAAAAAAATTGTACAGAAAAAGATCCGGAAATTACACCAGGACCTGTTCCCAGCAAAGGAGATTCTGAATGCAGGTATGCCCCATTAGATTTAATTTTTCAATTCAATGAATAAATTGTCACATTGATTTGTGTAAACAAACTAAGTCCGTGATTATTTGTGAGATTTTTTCAGCTTATATGTCAACAAAGCATTCTTTGTTCGTGAGAATTCAACAGAAGATTTCTTTTATTTCTTCTAAACTTTTTAGACTACCATTGCAGTGTGGTGGAAGGGAAATTTGCACCAAGGAAAATAAGTGTGAATCTATGGTGACTTGTGAGACTGATGAGGAATGTAGCGCAAAGACTAGGTTTCCAGTCAGGTATTATTTAGATCAACCAATACAGGCACAGTTCAGATAGTCTGTCAATGATAGTGATGTAATTTTTAAACAATGTGTCTTTATAACTTCATAAAAATACCTCCAAGATGCTTCTCTACTTGATTCAAGTAAAATGAGTTGTAATACTCAATTTCAAACTATAATGTTTAGATGTGAATATATTACGGGAGACGTGAAAGTGTGCATGAACAAGGATTGCGAAGGTGATGACGAGATGTGCAAACAAGTTGGTCCAGAGTATAGGTAACTTGAAGTACTGAAGTTTCATACAGTCACAACCTGAAACACTTGGAATTAATTGACAGTTAATCAGGTGAAATCTTATTGTTAAGTCGTCTGATTAATTGTAAATTAATTCCCAGTCTGTCTGGTTAAGACTGTATTTATAATGTAATGTCAAATTACGTAAATAATTCTTGATGAACGAATAATTTTGCTTTGTTCAGGTTTATATTTTTTGTCAAAGCTAAAATTTTGCATAATTTGCAAACTTGAATTTTAAAGTGCTTAAACGTTTGAATAAAGTGAAACTTCCCACTCTACATTAAGCATTTAAAGTTTAAAGAAATATTTGCTAAACAATTTTTAAACAATTTATTATTTTTGAATTTTTATTCTCATAACTTCTGATTTAATTCTACTTCTTGTCAATGTTTCTCTCCTTCCCTTTTCTTTTCCTTCTGTTGGCTGATTCTGTTAATTAAAAAAACAAAAATTGTTGAAACCAGTATTTATTGGGACACTCTTGCTTCATTGCAGTTGCATTAGTTTTCAGCTTTGTTGTCTAACTCAAGAATGCCTAACTTGACAAGCTGATTCAAGGTTAATGCAGTGCTGATTCAGCTTCAACACATAATTCTGATTTATTTTCTGAAGTGGAGGTGAAATGGAGGGGGGGGGGGGAGTGATGTCTCCCAGCCCTATCTCAAATGAAAAAATTGATATTTGATAAACTAAACCAATTCAGATGCTTTGAGAGTCAATGCAAACCAACTTATGGAGCATGTGATAATTCTTGTGATTGTGTGGATAAATATAATATGAGAAAAGGAGAGGGGAAGTGTTATAACAAGCAATGTCTATGCAGGTGATTTTAAGTTTTACCCTTTAAATGAAAAGATTATAATACTAGGAAATTGTTAGTTTTTATTTATTCAACATCAAATGCAAAATTTTTAAAGCTATACATATATTTTTTCTACTAAGGGTTAGTACATTTGTAAATAAATATCATTAGTCATCAATTTTAAAGAAATTTGTTTGGCCCAAATATTCTCTTTCTCTTATAAAATTCTGAAAGTCATCTTACTGTAAAATGTATATTCATGGACATTTAAAAAAAAAAGAAAAGAATGTTTAAAGAATTTCATATTTCATATGTGAATAATAAGTGTTTATTTTCTTTCAAATAATCAACAAATAATCTTAAGTATGTCCTTTCTTGTAATGGAATAAAGCAAAAATGTAAAAGAGTTTAGATGCTTCCACAAAATTTTACTAAAATATTTTAGAAGAATAATAAACTTGTTAAAAAGGTGATATCTTTTATTAAACAAATGTTCAGGACAGATTGGATTGAAAAATGTGACTCAGAACCTACGCCACCACCAACCACTGCTACTACTCCTAAACCACCGGTAAGAACCACTATTTAAGGTGAAATCAAAATTCAAACTTTTAGATAAAATCAATAAAACACACAATATACTGTAATTTTTTTAAAAATCAATTATCATTCTTGCGGAAGCGGTATTATAAACTCTGGGATGTTTGAATGTACACACTTGGAAGGAACAAGTGTGTTAATTGGAATTTATAGATTTTCTTCCATAAATCTGTTTAATAAATTTTTCTTGTATCTAGACATATTAAATGATAAATTAATATGCATTAAAATTGTAGCTTAAACTTATCTAAACTCTAAAATTTTTAATGTTTGATTTAAAGGCTATGACTTAAGGCTTTGTCATAGTGTCTGAATAATTAGTTATAACTTGTTAGAACCATACCACTAAGTTGAGTCCGCAAAATTTTTAATATTTATTTATAGCAAATAAAAGGAGAAAATAGTACTCCAGCTCCAACAACACCTGCACCAGTTTTAAATGATACCTGTATAATACCTCCTCCTAAAAGCTATGGAAAACTTGGTGATCCATGCAGGTATGTTGCACCAAGAAAGATTTACATGTTGGTGTTCCAAAATATATGAAACCATTTCTGGCCTAAAAAATCAGAATTTTTAACATACTACAAGGTTTGGTAAATATAGATGAGCACATTTGTTAAAATTTTATACTTCCCGTCATAATTTTTCTGAATTGTACCTTCAGTATAGTAACAATATCATTGAACATTTTGGATTAATAGTTCACAAAATAAAATAATGTTAACTTATCTTATCTTAATTTGGCTTTCCTGATATTTTCTATTGACAAGCTTCAAGCTATATTCAGTAAAACAAACAATTTGGAAATTTACATAGGAAAAATTAGTAACTTCAAAATTCACCTTGTCAACATGGGACTTTCATGAGTCAACCATGTGAATTGTACCTGATATTCACAGGTTATTAATGGAAATTGGTTAGTTGGGTATAGGCAATTTTGAAATTTGATAGGAAAATTGTATACAACCAAGAATCACAATTTTACTGTAATTGATCATAAACAAGAGAATGTAGATAATGATGATATTATTTTTATCTTTGTTAGTGTTCAAAGTGCATGCAGTCCCTTTGGCGATTTGGTCTGTTTTAAGAATAATGGATCAGCTGTTGGTTCCTGCCAACAGGTAAGTCTTCATCTTTTAAAATTTTGATAACAACACAAAAATAAGAAAGAAATATCATTTAAAAACAAAATATGCCATTTTTATTTAAAATTTTATGGAACATACAATACAATGCACATTTAAAAAAGAGAGAATAAAAAAAGTTTTGTTCTAAATAATTTGAATTTGTTCTTCTTATTTAATTCATCATTTACAATAAGTAGATTGCATTTACTAAGAGGTTACTGAAAATATGACTCGAGAATAAAGTATTGTTAACCTAATTAATTGTGTTATGTTAACCTCTAAAAACATGTACTTGTTAAATAAACTTATTAGTACTAATTTACACAGATATCAAGTTGTAATTTTAGTTATACAAGATAACTTTAATCCAGTCAAATAATCTACTATTTATTTAATGCTTGTCTTTATTCATTCAATTTGATATTGAAAGTAGAACTATCTAAATATTGCGATGGATATTATAAATTTCTTTGCAAATCATCATTTAAAACATGGTAAGTTGGCTTATATGAATTTTTCATTCAATTCCTGTTTAAAAGAGGGTGATTCAAAAAAAGGGTGTATAGGGAGATCTTGCTTAAAATAAAATATTTTTTTAATCTCATTTTTGACAAAATTGTATGAAATTTAAGAATTTATTTGTTGATATGCAATCTTGATTACCTTTTAGAAAACTCTGCGAAACTACTTATTACTCAAAACAAGATGTGTAGAAAAACAAAAGTGTGGATATATATAATATTTCTATCACACCTTAAAATCTTAGACAGAGCAGATGAGTATTTTTGGAGAAAATAGGCAAAATTAAATTTTAAAAAACAGCAATTTTATTTTGAAAAAAAACATTTGATGATTTTTATTCTTTCTAAATTATTTTCATTATTTTTGAGATAAGTTAAAATGTCAAAATTAGAATAATAGGAAAATACACAAACAAGAGTGTATCACTAAAATATGTTGATAACAGCTTTTCTGAATTTAGTTTCCCCCATTTTTAAGGTGTGATAGAAATAATATATTCCAACACTTATGTTTTTCTACTCAACTGATTAATAAAAAATAGTTTCACAGATTTTTAGGTATCTATCAGACTGGCTATCAAAAAGAATTTCCAAAATTACACAGCGTTTGTCAAAAATAAGATATATGAAATTGCTTTATTATATGCAAGACCTTGTTATTCACCCCTTTTTATACTTACCCTGTACATATCTTGTAAATTTATTAGATTGAATGTAAAGATGATAAAGATTGCTCTCATGGCTGTTTCCCAATGGAATGTGGAGGTGGTACATGTAGGTAAGAGCAAAAGGACCCAATATAATAAAAATTTTTCTTAAAAATTTAGCTTGCAATAAAATTGGTGATAATATAACTTGTCAGTTTAATTTAAATATTGGGTTGTTATTTTAATAGAAATCTTCTAAAATATGTCTTAAACTCTTATAAACATCACCATTATTACTAAAAAATTAAGAATCAATTACTTTAAGATCTAAAGACTGCTCTGAAACATTTTGTCCAGATGGTTATGGCTGCTATAGTGACGGACAGTGTAAAAGGGTAAATAAATATTAGTTATAACAAATTAAATACAAATTGTAACTTTTGTATTTAAATTTATTTAGATTATGGGAAAATGTAATTTTGTATGTGACTGTGGAGACTGTGGGGAGGTAAATAGTTGATTTTTTTTGGTACTTAGACTAAATTTTCGTAAGATTATCAATTGACATTTGACAGATTTCCAAAAGAATTCTAGATAAAATGATTTGTATACTTACAAAAGTTTTTAAACTTCAACTGGCTATAAAAACTTGGGCTGGACTGGTTTAGTCATTTTGACGTTTTTTATAATACAAAAAACCAAAGTACATAATTGTAGAATATAAAATGTCATCCTTCTATTCAAGGTCAAATTTCAAAATTGAATTTGTACTGTTTTACAAATGAATAATGGACTCTACATTGCTAAGCATTGCTTCTTTTAATACAATTGTTATACACATTTTAAAAGATACAAGTTGCATTGTGTTGACTTAATAATATTTGCAATCAGTTAATTATAAGCTATTAATCTGATGATCTTAATTCAGATGGACTGTTTCAAAAACCAATGTTTCTGTGATAATAACTTTGATGACTGTGGATCACCCACAGGTTATGTCAGGTACATTTTTTTAAATCAGATGTTTAAATGGAACATTTTGGATGAAAAACCATTTTATTATTTTAGTAAAACTGACCCAACCCTTGCTGGTGGAACCTCATATTCTAAACAGCCAAGTGATGAATGCAAAGAACGTATGTTTTAGTTTCTCCAAAATAGTGAAAAATAAGCTAGAAAAATTTTGCATTAAAAATTTAAAATAGAAAAAATTGCAAACAAAAGCACCTTTGTAGATAATTTTGTAGACAAAATTCCATTCTCTGATAGACAATTAAAGTTTTTCCTAAAATAAAGTTGAAATATCCTTTATTGCCAACAATTAAAAAATTCAAAAGAAAAAAGGCACAGTAGTTCAACTTTTATTTCAATACAATAATGATTAATTTATTCTTTGATATTGAGTTTTAATTTCTCATAAGCTTCTATTTAGCACAGAGAAACAAAAATAAGCTGTTAATTAATTCTTGTTTTTGTTGGATAAATCTTTAGTTGTGATCTCAATCAGGTCTCTACTCCATACAAAATGTACATAATATAAATGAACTGAAACATTTCAGTACATTTGATATTTTTCAAATTTAATTTCAGTAAACAGTAAAATTTGAAGAATAATAAACAGGTTCACTTTTCTGGGTTTATTTTAAGTTTATTTTTCTCTACTGTGCAAACTGACAAAGAAAGTTGTCATTTTTTTATTAATATACGCCAACCATAAAATTATTTACAAATATTGAATATTCAGCTGAATGTCCCAAAGATTGGGTAAAAACAAGTGCAGGATGTTACAAACTTTTACCAGAGCAGTCAACCTTTGATGAAGCAACTGCTAAATGCAAAAAAGAGGTGAAATACTTGATATTCCTAATTCTAATTATTCTTAAATTTATTAAAGATAATCTCAAAATATGTTTGGTGCTAGATAGATTTCACCTTTTATTTGTTAAGTTAAAAAATGTTTCAAAAATTCTTGTTTGTAGGATTTCCAGTCGCAATTACGCATTTATTACGTTTACGAAAGAAATTATGCAAACGAAATAATTCCGTAATAAATAGAGTACATATTAATTCTCAGAAATATTTATAGCGGGAAAGTATGTGTAAGGATATGCCCGCTACAACCATGTCAAACATATTTTGATGATTTTATTGACATTTTTTTTCAAACTAGGAAGGTAAACTTGAGAAAGTAGGTTGAAATATTAACAAGTCGTTGAAATTATGTATTTTTTTGATAAAAATTAATTGTTGGCCCTTTGTTAATCTTTCTAGTGAAAATAACATAAACATAGTATTGGCTGAAATTTCTGATTCAACTTGTGTGACAATATTTTCCTTGTAAGTTAGTTGTTTTATTTAAATTAAAAGTTAAAACTGCAAAATTTCATAGATGTGTAATTATTGCAAAATTTTGCAAAATTACTTTCTAGAAACTATGCGAAATTATGGCATAATTTTGCGAAATGGAAGTTTTGCTAATTATGGGTAATTAACACAAAATTTCGCGAAATTACTTCATGGAAATTACGCAAAATTACGCCGTAATTATCCGTAATAATAGTTTCCCTTACTACGAATAATCATTACAAAATTTGGATAAATTAAGTTGTAGAAAATATGCAAAATTACGCAGTAATTGGGCGTAATTATAGTTTTGCTTCTTACTCGTAATCATTACGAAATTTCGCGAAATTATGTTGTAGAAATTACGCGTAATTATAGTTTGGCTTATTACTTGTTATCATTACGAAATTACACAAAATGAAAATTATTACACATAATTACATTAAGTTATTTAATCTATTCCGTTGGAAACCCTACTTGTTTGGTCTAAAATTTAGTTTCTGGTATTGAATTGCAAACATATCTCTGCGAATGCTTCTGTGCATCTGGATTCAGTGATTCATAAAAGATCATTTGATAACTATTCTAACATATTATGCAAACTATAACTATTTTAAATATTTTAATATATTTTGTAGAAACGTTTTTTTTTCTGTTTTACTGGAAAATTTTTTGATCTATTTTTTCCTAAAAATTACTGCCAGCTTGCCTTTTTAAGATTATATATTTTTAGGATGGTCTAGATATTTAAGATGTTTACGATATTATTATGTTAAACAATGATTCTTACAGCTCATTTTAGAAAGGATTCCTTGCTAAAGTTGATTCTAAGAAAAAGATGGAAGAGCTTCTGAAAACAGTTTTAAAGGATGGAACTATATCTGTAAGATTTTCAATTTTTTAATTCTGAAAACATAGTTTACTTTGTATTAAAATTATCATGTTAACAGGATGGTTCAGGAAAATTTTGAAATTAAAGGCCCATAAAATAACAACAAAATAATATTAACAAAAAAGCAAACATCTACATGAAGACCCATATTTCTGTTAATCACAATGTCCTTTTTAAAGAATATTTTACTTTTGATAATTACATTTCATTTTGAATCTGCTACTAAAGACATAAATATTGAATAAAAATGTGAAATCCAAATACCCCCTAAAGGCATGGATTGGAGCAAAGAAGGAAGGAGACTCAATTAAATGGATTATTGATAATGAAGCAATTGGATATTCTCCCAGTGCTTATGCTAGGTAAGTGTAGGCCAGGTTAGTGCCAATTTTGCTAGCAATATCTTGCGGAACTGGAACACAAACCGCATATGAAAAAAACAAACAAAAATGAGGCAATTCCTGTGTAAACCAAAATTTGTGTGGAATTTTTCAATTTTTGCTAACAAACTCATTTCATGCCACGCATGTTTTTAATAAGTTCTGAGTGTTTTTTATCATAGGATTGAAACTGACCCTGCTAAGGCATGTGTGCAAACCATAAGTTCATATTGGCAAAATTCTGCTTGCACAGAAAAGTTTCTTCCACTCTGTGAAATTGCAACTGGAAAACAAGGATATTAATTCTGAATATTTTCTATGAAATAAATATTTTATAAATATAGTGTTCATTTCTAAATATATTCATTTACCCAAGTTTTTAAGTCTTAATGATAAATAGTTTGAAGTTTTGTATAATTTGTAAGCATTTTACCAATTCTAGAACTTAAATGCTGCCAACATTTGATTGCTTATTGGAAAGTGATTCACCTACTTAGATAACATTAATTACAAACAATTTTTTCTGATTTGATTTGTTCATGGCCTGCCTATAGATATGATATTCTCCATAAATCTACGTTCACTGTTCTGGGCCATTTTAAGATATAAAATTCTATCTACAGGCTATTTAGCTTTTAAAGCAAAATGGACCTTGGAATATTTTAAACCTCTGCATAGTTTACTGAAGGTTTTACTATTTTCTGTCTAGCGATCATTCTAGAAAAAAATTGCCTTTAAAAAATGTTAGAAATAAACTTCAGGGTCCAAATCATACAGGAGCCATATTAGTAAATGTGGGGGCCTGAAGTATGGAGAAATGAGATACAATAACTAATTTCTTAAAATCATAACATTGCCTCCTAAGAAAATAGTAGCATCAACTTAGTATCTTTAAAGTTTTTTGATATAAAGAGGGAGACTAAATTTTAAAATGTTTTTTAGAGTTTCAATGTTTTTCTGTACTACTGTCTTTATTAAAGGTGATAAAACATATAAAGCTAAACACAAAGTGTTCCGATTCACTTAATTCAAAATATAATTCAAATTTTATTTGATTAAAAAACATTTACCTTTATAGTAAACTTGTAAAGCACTGCATTGTGAATTAACAGTATTTATGTCAATCAGGTCTTGTCCTTTTTTAGAACTGGTTGAATTCAAAAATGTGATTTTGGACCCATGGAAACTCCATCTCTAACTACAAGTACACCAATGGTAACAAAAACAAGAAGAAATTAGAATAAAAAAGTTGAAAAGACATCATTTAAAAAATCATCTCAGTAACTTAATAAATCTTTAAGAAACTTGCAAGTAATAAAGTTATCTTTGTTCTATTTGTATTGGTTGGAAAATTTTTTATGTATATTTGAATTTAATGAATTGAAGAGGTCCCTTAACTATCTATTTCCTGAATCAGAGCTCTGATTTAAATTCTCAAAAAATCATTGACTTAAGATTTGAATTGGCAGTAGGAAATTCAAGGAACATTTCAAACTCATTACATTTGGTACCTGGTCTTTGACTTATTGATCTCAAACTTGAAAACTGCTTTAGTCTATATTTTTACTATTCTGTAGCCACTAAATGGAGAAAAGGATAGTTGTATAATTCTTCCCACTAGAGACTATGGAAAACTTGGTGATTCTTGCAGGTATAATTTTATCAAATTACTTCAAAGATATATATTTATGCACATTGCTGTTGCTGAAATCATTCAAAATTACATAATTATAGAAGAAAGTTCTAAAAAGCTGGGAGAAATTTACACTTTTTAAAATTTTGATGAGTGCAAATGACTTTTGTATTTTAAGCATTCAAAGGGTCTGTGATTAAATGATTTGGTGTGTTTAGAGAATAATGGATCCACTATGGGTGATGCATAACGTATATTCATATTATATCTTCAATGATATTTGTATGCCCTTCAGTTTTGATTGAAGTGTGAATTTCTAAGTCTAATTTCTTTGAACAATTAATAGATTTAAGGTTTCATAGAAAAATTGATTGATATATTTCCTTCAATTATCAATACAGAAGTCAAATTAAAATTTAAATATTCAGCTGAATGCTCAAGTGATTGAGCGAAAACAAATCTTGTTTGGTACAATATATTACCTGAGCAGTCAACCTTTAAGGAATCTGTCATTAAATGCAAAGAACCTCTACAGTCATAACTAATATTTCTGGTAATGATCCTGTTTATTTTTACAATTCCAAGACGATGATTAAGTTTTGAAGCATATTTAAATTAACAACTAATCCTAAATTTCATTCAAGAAAAAGATCAAAACTGATTCAATCAGTTTAGTAGGATGGAACTTTATATTCAATTCTTAAAACTTAATTTAATTTGGAGGAAAAATAATGAGATTAGAGGCTTATAAAATAACAACAAAACTAAATTAGCAAAAAAAAAACTGCTCTATAAAGAGTCAGTTTGTTAATCTAATATTAATTTTCATTTTCTATGACATAAATTTTTAATAAATATAGTATTTTATTTCTATATATATATTCATTTACCCAATGTAATATATCTTAATGATAAATAATACAATTTTTTGTATGCATTGTAAGCATTTTGGCCATTTTAGAACATAAACTCCACAATTATTTGATTGCTTATTGTAAAGCAGTGCACTTATTTAGAAAACACAAAACAAGTTTGTTTTACTGACAGTCTCCTTTAACCCTATCTCTGCTGGGGTACTTGAAAACCAGGATATGCTGGGGGGGTCAATTTGACCCCCCCCCCCTCTAAATCCCATGTTTGATGTTCAAATATGACAAATGATTGGAAATCATTGGAAAGCTCTTGTGCTCTAATTTTAGAATCTGCAAAAAAATTGGCCAATTTAAAAAAATTGATTTTTTTAACGCAAAATCCAATTATTTAGTAAAAATGTTTGCAAAAAAAAATTTGTTCATAAAATGAAAAATTATATGCTTTTGAAAAGCCCTTGACCTGGAGACAACCATTTTGGAATATTGATAAAATGTGCATTCAGAGATTCCGAAGATAACCTTGAACCTGTTCCAGACATGTTTCAGTTAATTTTTCAGTAGGAAGAAGTGTCTTCACAATGCCTTCGAAACACGGAGGCTGCTTCAAGAAAAAAAATTTACTTTTGGTCATTAAGTAAAAGAATATCCAACAGTCTTGACCAATTTATTATCAAACATCTGTTGGCCATTCTTGGTGATAAGCTTGAGAACGTCAAACTTTGACTATTCAAAATCCAGTCTCTGAAAAAAACCCTCACAACTACATGTTAGAAGATCTTCATGAAGACCTAGAATAACCTACTACATGCTCAGTCAGATACAAGCTATAATAAAGGCCAAAAGACACTGGATAGTTTTTACTAACTCACCAACTCTCTTGATTCACCCTATACTTTTTTTGCATAACTTTTTAGTTTCATCAATAACAATCAAATCACATTACATTCAAGTATTTTTTAGCATCAAAATTTGTTCAGATGCAACCAAATTGTTTAATTGCTAAAATGAGTAGATTAATTATTTTTCACATTTACACATAATGTTGTTAATGATATAAATAACAATTAATCTAATAAATGAAATCTGAACCTTACTCTACTTCCTTTCAGTGTGTAATACACCAAATAATGTGGATATCGTCAACAGTTATCATTTATTTACCTTTTATCATTCAGGAAGAGATTTCTCTGTTTTAAGAAATTTTATTTTACATAACCTTGAAAAATTTTACCTTTTTTTATATAATTGTTAATACGAACCTAGCCTATACTCTTCTCCATACATGATCAATCTTTGTGGCTAATCTTTATTTGTTTAATTGTTTTGTGAAAAGAAAGTGAAATTTCAAAAAATCTAATACTTTTGTATCAGAATTTATTAATTAATGATATGAACATATTTAAAATCGCTAGGACATTGAAACTAAAAAATACCTAATACAAACATCTGGAAAGCCAGTTTCTTTAGCTTCAGGTAATTAATAAAACAAAAGATTACAATTAATAATTTGACTACTTTTTATTGGTGTATGTTTAAACCCTAATCAGAAAGAGATCATTGTTATCAATACTCATCAACCACATGAAACAAACTATTTTTGTGTTTTTAAACAGGCTTGTGCCATCAAATGAAACAGCACTTTTGTAAGAATGAACCTTTACAGATTTTATGATAGAAATTTAATTTATATGTTGTCAGGAATAAGGATTGCATAATGATGTAATGGTATAGTTTTGTCAAAGTTCAATATAAAGAGAACGGTTTCTTTGAACTTTGATCTAAATTGTTTTAAGGTTATAAGTTCCTGTTTATTTAAAAGTATAAGTTAGTGGGGTTTACTTTACTTTAACTAAACATAGAGGAACAGTTATATTACAGATGATCCTAGTAATCTGTTTATTCATTACTTTTTTTATTTATTTAGGAACAGATTCATTGAAGGCTGTAACACTTAATATAGGGAGTGATTACTCAGGTATTAGAGATAGTATGCATATAAAAGTATTAATCTAAAGAATATAAATATGAGAATTATAATATTGGTTATTTGATGTAAACTGCCCCCCCAACCTTTCCCTGATGTAAAGATATGGAAATGCATGATATTAACATACCATAAAGATTTACTTACAGACAAAGATATGCGTACAAATATTAAAGCTATAACTTGTAAAAAAAAAAATTTAATAAAAAATAGTTAATTAGTATAAGGTTATATATATGAACTTCTGAGGTTTTAGTTTCATTGTAATCAATCACTGTTTAGATGGTCTTCATTCACTTGTCAATGTCAAGTTCCTCCATATCTGTTCAATGTTAGGGTTCAGGGAGTTGAGGTTAGTAATCTTGTTCTCTCTAACCTTTGCTTGAAGATTGCCCAGATTACTATTGGAACATTAGGACAGTGACAAGGCTTAGTGTAGATTGAGTCAATTTCTAGGCACCTGACAGCTGTCTTTGCGAAGGTAGGAGAGCAAGTAAACACAGATGACTATGTAACAAAGTTTAATTTTGATGAAACTTGAACCAAAGTAGTGCATGTATATAACTTTATACCAATAAATTATTTTAGTCATGAATTATCATGGTTCAGCTTTTATAAGAATGTATTCAAATGTCCTGACAAATTTATGCTCACCCTTTAACTCAGACACATTTTGGTAATGTTTTTTAATCTAGATAACCCAGTGACATCAGCAGAACATGAAAAAGGTAATCTTTGTATAGCATTGGTAAATAGCTTTGTTTTTATATGTCTTGTGTTTAAACAGTTTTATGATCAAAATTACATGTAATAAATTCATAATCCTATCAAGAGGATTTTTCTTTTGAAAGAAACACATTTTTTTCCCAATTCTTTTAATGCCTTTAAGAAAAATGCTCCAAGTAGATGTAATCTATTTGTTATTCATTTAGGAAATCCTGTTTTTTCTCCCTCTGCTGATTTGTCAGGTATTCTTAGTCATATGTTTGCTCTTTTATAAAATTATGTTAGCTAGCAGATGTGTGTCTTTCTATAAGACTGTTGTAGCAAGGTCTAAGCTTTGTATTAGATGTCTTTTTAATTTATGCAAAATGACCTTAACCCATTAGTGACAAGACAAATAATTCTTTCTGATCTTGCTGAAATTCACAGGGTTAACTCATTATACTCTCCATAGAGTAGATCTAAAGTTTCAATTTTTTTCAATGAAGGGTAGTGGAGATACAAAATTGACTGAGCGGTCAATTTTGTATCTTTTAGTATCCTTTAAAAGGATACTAACGAACCTACATTGTTCGTATTTAGTATGCCTTATGTGATGAATTTTTATGTTCCTTGTAACATCCTGCTAAGGAAGTCGCAATAGTATTAAGACGAACCATCAATGTTCGCATCTATTGCACTTCGGTCGGTCGAGTAATTCTTAACTTATGTATTCACTCTTTTACCGATCACATGAATTTTAGATAGTAACAAATTAACATATGCTCGCTTAATGTGTAGCCTCAATAAAAACGAAGAACGGACAATGTTCCTCGTTGTGGAGCTCACACAAATTTTATTTACTGTAAAAACTCGCTACTGTGTTACTCATATGAAAGCATACACACGGATAGCAACTTTCCAAAAAGAGATAACACACACTGTGCTTATATTATCTCTCAGTCATATTTCATAAAAGAATGCTATCATTTCTTCTCTTTTTTTCTATCGAAAAGTTCCTTTACCAACGCTCGAATTTAAATGATGTATAATGATTTATAACTATATGTAAAAAAATATTTGTTGTATTGAACCCATGTTAACAATCTTGTAACTATGATATGCGTAAAATAAATATCTAGATGTTAAAAATTTTGACTGTTGCCGAGCAGGATAAAACTGACCGAGTCCTGTATCTCTACTACCTTTCGTTGAAAAAAATTGAAATTTTAAGGGGGTTGTGTAAGACAGGCAATTTTGACTGGGCAGAAAAAAGGCAAAAAAGAGCAGTAAACACAAACTTTTTATATTGAATGTAACATTAGCATATAACTAACATCAAATGCACACTTTTCATAGAAATAAAAAATTTTTAAAATTAATTTTTCACTGATTTATATCTGTTGGATCCGGAGGTTTCCTACAACCTATAGGCGATACTTGGGATATCTGTAGGAAGAGTGGGAATGAAATAGGAGGCCATTTGGTTTAAAAAGGAAGGCGCTAAAAAATAAAAACCTTACCTGGTCAAAATCGACCATCTCATCACTAATGAGTTAACATAGTTCTTGGCAGAAATTTATTTTTATTGCAAATGATTGTTCTGTAAATCTTTCTGATCTTAGTAAAATGGTAGTTAATAAACAAATGAAATATTTTGATGTCCCATTGGACCATGCAGGGAAAGTTCTGGTTTTACAAGAACTTTTAAATGAAATGATAAATGTGTTATGTATTGAGTAATGATCAATGTGGCATATTCGTCACTAATTTTGCATATTTTTCTTTTTTCTTTTTAAAGCTATATATTCAAAAGTTTATTTAAACAAATTTAAACTACACCATTTATATATGTATTTATATCTTTGTGTGTGAATAAATCTTTATAATAAAAAATAAGAAAGTTAAGAAATCTCTTTTTATTATCTCCTTGTTTCTGCATATGCATAACATGTTAAATAATGTTTAACAGGAACAATGAACTTCTCTAAGCCAGACTGGATCTTTGAACTGAGTACTGGAGTAACAATTAAGAGAATAGTAGATGGAAATGAGTTTGTTATTACTGGTGATGGTATTACTGCAACAATCAATGGATTTCCCATCACAGAAGCAGAATATAGCAAGGTTCTGGAAGGAGAGAAGATTACTATTACAGCAGATGGAAAAGAGGTTGTGCTTGAAGCCAAGGACAAAAAAGTCATGTTTGATGGAAAACCATTTTCAGACGGGGAAAATATTTCAACGGAATCTAACACAGTAAGAAAAATCTACAGCAAAGAGTCCTTGTCTCTACAAATACCAGGTCACATCATTTTTGCATTTTTGTAAGTATAGCAAGGTTCTAGAGGTAGAGGAGATTATTCTTAAACCATGGGGGAACAAAATTACAGTTGATGACAAAGAAAAAACTGTAATGTTTTATGGAAAAGCATTCTCTAAGGGGGGGATATGTTACAATGGAATCAAACACTGTCAGAAACCCTATGCATAATTTTATGAAATTAGAGAATTCACCAGGTCTTAAATTATGTAAAAATAACTTTCTTTCTTTTCACAGCAGGTGCTGAAATGATTTTGGGTTATACATATGTCAAATAAACGTACTGATGCAGTCAATATTTGTAGTATATACTGCAATTCATGCTCTTAATGTATTTGTTATATTAAATGTATAAGATACATTCTTTTACTTAATCTTTATTTTGTTATATATGGTAAAAACATGCCCTGGGTGTTGCTTTCTGTCCCTTTTAAAAAATAATTAGTAATTGATTAAAAAAAGATCAAGTTAATATTTGCAGTATATATGTACTTTCAATAAAGTATTCTATTATATTTGGTGAAAGACTATTAGTGCTATTTTAAATTTAAATTATTACATTGAAAATAGCACCCCAAGCTGTGCTCTGGGTGTTGATTTCTGTCCCTCTCAAAAAGTAATTAGGAATTAATTAAAACTAATATTTTTCCAGTTGAGTTTAGTTCTCCATTTTGGATTTTATCTCTGCCGAAAGGGATGTCAATTCTCCGTAATGTGGATGGATATGAGTTCAATATATCCGGAGATGGTAACACAGCCATAATCAATGGATATTCTGTAACTCCGCAAGATTGGAAATCTGCTCTTAAAGGAGAAAATGTCACTTTAAAAGGAAATAATGAAACAAAAGGTTTTCTGACAGGTTCAGAAGGAAATGTCACATTGAATGGTAAATCTTTGATTTACGGTAATCGTATTCAACAAAAAGTTTCTCAAATCATTTACAACCTTGGTCCAACAAAAGAAGCTGAAAATAACAGCAATGTAGATTATAAGGTGAGAAAACTAAAATAACAAATAATTTATTCCACACCTTATTTCAACAAAAACAAAATTTCTTTGGAATTTCCTTTAAACATTTAATTTTCAGGAAACTAATGATCTGATAAGTAACTTAAAAGATGGGGAAACAGGTTAATACTTTTTAATATAAGAGAACAAGAAATTGTTAAATATTTTCACCATGTTTGTTATTGAAAATCAAAAGAATAATAAAAATGTATGATTATTATAGAGTTTTGTAGGAACAATTTTAAATTACGATTTGATCCCAAGTAACAAAAGTGAGGAATATCCCCAGATTCTTTGAAGAATTTGCAAGGAATTTCTTGAGAATCATTTCCTGTAACTGATTCTTCGGAAATTCTCGAGAAATTCCCCAGAATTTGTCCCAAGATGAGAGATTTTTGTGGAATCACAGTTTTGAGACTGAGTTTCGAGAAATTCCGCAGAAATTCTTAGGAATTTTTCCCCACAAAATTCCTCAGAATTTCTCCAGAATACTTCTTTGGAAATTCCTGAGAAATTCCTAGGACTTGGTCACCATGTTTACGGATTTTTAGGGGAAATTATTTACAAGATTTAGTTTAGAGAAATTCCTGGGAATTTCTCTGGAATTTCACCCCAAGAAAATCCTGAGAATTTCTCCAGATTATTTCTCCAGAAATTCTTGAGAAATTCTTAGTACTTGGTCACCAAGTTTACAAATTTTTAGGGGAATTAATAGGAGAATTAATTTTGAGAAATTCCTGGGAATTTCTCCAGAATTTCACCCCAAAAATTTCCTGAGAAATTCTCCTGAATGCTTCTACAGAAATTCCTGAGAAATTCTTAGGACTTTGTCACCAAGTTTACGGATATATAGGGATTATAAAATTTGAGTTTGCAAAACTGTTACCAAATTTTATTTTAAGTTGTTCAACATGAATTACATGATGTGGAAATACCAAACTCAGGTTAATTTGCCCTTTTAAAATTTGCCATTTTTTAATTATATTAACCCTATAAAGGTTGGGGGTCTGAATCAATGTATAGCCTGGGGGAGGTGTTTGGCGCCCCCCCTGGCCCCTAGATTAGGGTATTGGGTTGAAAAGCATGTTCATAGTCCAATATTTAATGGCCAGCTCAAAGAAAAATAAACTAAACTGATAACTTTAATAGTTTGGGTACTAGGGAGGGTGGAAAAAAAATACCTAAAAAATTGTAAAAAAAATATTTTTTGGTTCTAAACAAATATTAAAGTGTAACTCATGTATATACATACATTTTTCAAGGGCTTTTCAAAAATATGGATTTTAGATCTGCAGCTTTAGTCACATCCTTTACAAAACATTCTTTAAATTACTATTCATTAAAAGTCACAAAATTTCATGGTGATAGTGGTTAAAATGAGAGTGCTAGGACAGGAAAACTTCAAGGGGTGCCAAACAGTGAACATCCCTGTTTCTCAGTTACAAAATGTGCACCCTTCAGAAGGTGGGTGGTAAGGATAGAAAAGGTCAGAGAGTGTTATGAATGCTAGAAACAAGCTTAAAACAATTGATTTAATGAGAATACCATATATTGAATACCATGCTCATTGAATAAACACATAGTAAGAGTAAGGATGGGGTCTCTTGATAAACTGAAGGTAGTTGGGGTAGTAAGGGTAGTTTCCATATAGATTCAGCTTCAAGGATGGGGGGTGGGGTCTCTCTAATAACAGACTGTAGTTGGGGTAGGAAGGGTTGTTGCCATTCAGATTTAGCTTCAATGGTGGGGGTGGGGTCTCTCTAAAAACAGACAGTAGTTGGGGTAGTTAGGCAAAGTGAATAAATACTAAAGTGGAACAGACTAAGGCAACGATGACAGGTTGTGCCATGAGGTTTTATTTGGTTTGGAAATAACTGCACGAAAAGATTTCTTTTGGAAATTAAAGACTAGAAAAAATAAACTAAGAAATTATGTAAATGTCGCCTTCAGCTAGAACTACAAAATTTTCATAATCAAAAATAAAAAAATTTTGTATGTTTTTATGTGTTTTATATGTAAATACTTTACAGTCGCTTAATAAATTCATTGATTTTGCCTGGCAGACTTGCACTAATTTTATAAGAATTTATCTTTAAAACTGCTTAGTTTTGTTTTGCCCCCCCCCCCCCCTAAAAAGAAAAAGAAATGTTAGCCCTTCTTGGAAAAAAACCTGAATACGCCTCTTAATATCTTTAAAGCTATATCTATATCTATATCAACTACTCTTAAATCTTTCAAAATACAAGATCAAGAGATATATTTTGAAGATCTTTATTTTTCGATATCACAAATTCTGCATTCCTTGTTTTACAGATTATGCATGCAGGCATTATAGTCTTAATTATTTATTGTGCAGTAAAATGGTTAAAATTCACTTCTAAACTCTTAATTTACGTTAATCTTTATTTAAGTTAAATACAAATTCTAAGTCTTTGTTTGTAAACAAAGGGAGTCCAGTTTCTGTTGTATACTGTGCACTCCGTACAGACCAATTTATATGTATAAATATATATTATTTAAAAATACTTGGGACATAAAATGTTGTCATCCGATTATGAGTTTGGCCCACTTTAATATTTAATCCCTTTAGTTGTTAGGGCGGTAGGGAGGTTTAAGAGTTTTCAGAATTCCAGAAACAAACTTAAAACAATAGATTTAGTCTGTTTTTACAGAGAGACCCCATCCCCACCCTTGAAGCTAAATCTGAATAGCAATTACCCTCACTTCTCCAACTAAGACCCCTACCCCACCATTTAAGCTAAATCTGAATGGCAGCTGTCCTCACTACCCAACTACTGTCTGTTTTTAAGGAGACCCCACCCCCATCCTTGAAGCTGAATCTGAATGGCAACTACCCACACTACTCCAACTACCGTCTGTTTTTAAAGAGACCCCACCGTAAAGCAGAATCTGACGTTAGTTGGGGTTTTTTTATGCTCATATGGGTATCATCTGTACTGTCTGTTTTTAGAGAGACCCCACCCCTAACTGTAAAGCAGAATCTGACTGTAGTTGGAGTTTTTTTATGCACATAGTATACAATATGGGTATAAATTCACACTAAATCAATTATTTTAGTTCCTTTCTGGCATTCTTAACACTCCATGACCTCCCTACCACCTTACAACCCCAACGACTGTCTGTTTTTTTAGAAAGACCCCACCCTACACCATTGAAGTTAAATCTGAATGGCAACTACCCTTGCTACCCCTACTACCGTCTGTCATTAAAGAGACCCCACCCCCATCCTTGAAGCTGAATCTAAATGGCAACTACCCTCCCTACCCCAACTACCTTCGGTTTTTAGAGAGACCCAATCCCTACTCTTACTATGGTTTTATTCTAGCACATAGTATAAAATATGGATATCGATTCCCACTAATTTTTTTTTGCTTGTTTCTGGCATTCTTAATACTCTCTGACCTCTTCTATCCGCACTACCCCCTTCTGAAGGGTACACAGTTTAAAGGTGTAAAACGGGGTTTTTATGCTTTCTGCCCTCAGTGCCCCCCCCCCCCCTTTCTGTTACTTTAGGGTTAAGAATTTAAAACAATATTGCAAGCTTTCATTGCATTTGAGCCAGTGGAAATAATTCTTCAAGTAACAGTACTTTAGATTTTGAGACAGACATTTTTACTACTGGAGTTGAAGTAGGAGCTGACGAAGAAGGTAAATGTAAATACTGGAATTTTTAATTTATGAGAACAAGACATTGTTAATTATTTTCAGTGGGGTGGAGTGGCTAGTGTTTTACACTAATTCTTGTTAATTTACTGAAACTTAGGACCATTGTCTGCAGCCAGTAACTGGATTGGTGTCCTTAGGTTAGATTCCCCCACTTCACATCAACCTGTTATTTCAAAAATATCTAAAGCAACAATCTGGTTCAACAGTTATGACCACCTAACATACGTATTAGGACAGAGGGGTGGATGTAAACAACTTGGCACCTAGGCTTATTACAGTATATCTAAAGAATTCCTACACTCTAATATTCTCTCAGGCCTAAGTAGCCAATAGGCAACCGGATTCTTGTCAGCTCTCTTCATTAGCATGAATTAGTGAATGTGCTGCCGGATATTATACCCCTGTCAGATCAATAAAAACCTTTTCAACAAACAAACTTTCGTAAGTAAATAAAAGTGCTGATCTCTTTAAACAAATATAATTTTCATTAAAAATCTGTTTTATTTTTGAATATCAAGAGAATGACTCCAACTTTACACTGTTACCCAATAATTGATGGCTTTTCATGATCATTTCTCAACAAATGGTTGGAAACCTTAAAATCATAATTTGATGTTCAAAGGGACTACCTTCAAAATCATTGATATAATTTATTATTATAGTTTTACTGTCAGTCAACAGTTTAGAGGAATTCTTCTCTTTTCATGCAAAACCATCTTGTTTTTACCAAAATTATTTTTTAAGTTGTTGAATATGAAATAGAAGATGTTGAAGTACCTAAATCAGGTTAATTCCTTTACTTTAGTTAGTTTTACATGATGAATAATTTAAATACTTTATTTTAATATTTCAAGGTGCATATTAAATAATTGGTTTTAAATTGTTGTTAGAGTTTCCAGCAAACAAAAACTTTTGCAAAAAAACGTGAAAAAATGAAATAATGAATTTAAATTTTGCAAAAATGCTATTCACAAAAATTGTTTTTGCAAAATTATAATTTTGCATAAAAAAAAATTTTAGTAGCTGGAACAATTTATTGCATCAAAAACTCTCTCCCGTTATTTTTTCAGCAAAATTTTTGCATTTTGTTTTCCCATACATGTTTGCCTTTGTTATTTTGAGAAAATTTTGCATTTTTCCCCAAGATTATTGCATATCTTAATTAGCAAAAATTTCTCATTTTTTCAATAAAACAGAGTTAAGGAAAATTTTGCAAAAAAGAGAACAAATTTTTTTACAAAAAATGCTAAATTTTCTCAAAACAATGGTCCCTTTTGGCTGGAAACCCAAATTGCGGTTATTGAAATGGACTTTCCAATTACATTAAAACCATATACAAATATTCATTTTATAGTGGATGGAAATTATTCTTCAAATATGGAAAATAATAGTACATATGGTTTTGAGACAAAACTTACAACTGTTGTAACTGAAGCTTACTCTATGTCTGAAACACCACCTACAACCACTTCATACCCAAGTACAAGCATTGCCTTGATAAAGGACAAAAATTGCACTGAAGAGGAACCTGAAGTATTGCCTGTACCCCCTGTACCTGGAAATTCTGATTGCAGGTGTATAATGAAAAATTTGCAAGTTTAAGTAAGGAAAAACTTACTTCAATAAACAAAACTGTTCAGATTACCCTTGCAGTGTGGTGGAAGGGAAATTTGCACCAAGGAAAACAAGTGTGAATCTTTGGTCACTTGTCAGAAAGATGAGGAATGTAGCACAAAGACTAAGTTTCCAGTCAGGTATAATTAAAACTGACCACACTTCATCTGAGGTGATATAATATGCATGACTCAACATATTCTGTACTGTACAGACCTGCTCCAAGTAATTGGACATTTTGTGCCTAGTACGGCTACTTGACAAAAGATTAGAGCTATTAGGATTGAAATAACCATATAAAGGAACATTTAAGTAATGGTAATGTTTATTTGTGTTCAGTTGTGAATATGTAACTGGTGATGTGCAAGTGTGTATGCACAAGGATTGTGAAGGTGATGATGCGAAGTGCAAACAAGTTGGACCAGAGTATAGGTAACTCATTTTCAAGGAACTTTACCTAAACAAATTGTCAAAATTTTCAAAACTTTTTAATTCTAGCAAATTAAGGCAAATGATAGTTCAAAAACTGTTTATTATCGTTATTATCTTTTCTGCTTTTTGTGTTTTAACCAAAATTTAGATTTTTTGTGGTTTTTTAATATCTTAGAATATAAGGGTTTTTTTTGGCTTATAAAGTTATTTATCCTCATTGCAAATGCGATTTTAAGAAAAGATTACTTCCATTTGTATACTATTAATTTGTTTTCGGAAAAAAATGATTGTTTTGAAAACGACCCACTCTTTTTGAATTAAAAAAAAAAAAAATTGTCATTGATAAATATGTTGACGATTGTTAACGAAGGGTCATTGTTAACAATCTTTTACAAAGGGTTGTCCTTCATGATCTTTAATGAAACGCCAAACTTAATAAAAATAGTCATTGATAAATATGTTTTTTGACATATGAAGATGATTATGTAAGTCGTCTCACATGCAACTTTATTGAATGCTGTCTTACATGCAGGTAAAAAGTTTTTGGTGGAGCTAAAACTTCTTGATATTTTATTTTAAACTAATTAAAGATAAGCAGGGATGCCCATTGGGTAGGTTTCCTCTCTCCTTTCTTTGTTATAGATCCTTCACCAAGTTTTATTGTTAATGAACGTTAACAAAGGGTCATTAACAATTGTTCACAAAATGAAAAACTTTATAAAAACTGTCGTTTTTAAAATGATCTTTTTTTTATTGTTTTCATAACAAAATAATTGTTTTTCAAAAACAGGAAAACGATCCATCCCAAGGTGTTAAGTGATAATTATCATTAAAAACCATTCAGATGCTTTGAGAGTCAATGCAAACCAACTTATGGAGATTGTGAGAGTTCTTGTGATTGTGTGGAAAAGTACAATATGAGGAAAGGAGAGGGAAAATGTTTCAACAAGCAATGCCTTTGCAGGTGATCAGTTCTATTTTTATTCTTTGGATAGAATACAAATTAGGTGATGATTAATTATGAAAATAAAAACCACATGTTATTTTCAATAAATTATAAATTTTCGTCAATGATCAGTTTTGGTTTACACGGATCAACATGAATTTTAAAAATTATGTGAAAAAGCTTATTTTCTATACTCTTGCCTAAAATTTCTTTCATACATGACAAGAAACAATAGGAGATTATTAAAACTACAGTATGCAGGAATTACTGAATTCTTACAACAATTTGACAAGGATAAATTCTATTTTTCAATAATGGAGGATCTTAACTATTGCTTAAATACAGTCTTTTTTAAAGTTGATGCCTAATTCTTTTTATCAACTTGAATTTGATCCTCTCATTCAATTTTAAGACCTGTAAAGCTACATCATAAAACACAAAATGTTCTGGTTCACTTGATTCAAAATTTAATTTAAATTAGAATTGATCAAAAAAAGACCTTCACCTTTTTAATAAACTTTGTATTATTTTGATTCAGGATATTGAAATATAATGCAATTACATGAAATAAATACTTTTTTGAATAAAATAAAATGAAAAGCAAACAGTCAAATTTGAAACAGTGTAGGTAGGAATCATCACAACCAAACAGATCACTCCACCTCCACCTTGTTCCTGAAGAGCTCCTACTCGACTGTCACACCTAGTTTCTTCCCCTATCATCCTATTCTCCAGTTCAATGAGCCCATGCCATCCCTAAATTTAGGACGCCATGGGTATCAAAGCTTGGCATGGTTTCTATTATTAGATTAAGGAAAACGCAACCTTACCAGGGTATTTTTACTCTCCTTACTGACATATGTAAAAACTATCAAACACCCATCTAGGGTTACACTAAGTCAATCATAATGCTTTACAGTAATACATATTTAGATCTTAAAATAATTTTAAAAGATATTTTAGTATTGTTATCTTTGGGCTTTTTTAGAACCGACTGGATTGAAAAATGTGATTCTGGACCTAAGGAAACTCCATCTCTAACTACAAGTACACCAATGGTAACAAAAAAATTTAAAAAGTTAGAATAAAAAAGTCAAAAAAACATTATTTAAAAAATCAACTCAATAACTAAATAAATTTGCAACTAATAAAGTTTACTTTGTTCTATTTCCCAGCTAGCCAAATTGCGCAAAAAGAGCGCAATTTAAACGTCACTTTTTGCATTTTTACGTAAATTTTGAGTAGAGATTTTGGCTCTTTTTACGTCATGAAAGACATAAAATCGCACACTTAGCTACGCAAATTTACTGGTTTTAGAAGACGTAAAATTTACGTAATAATATTATACAAATTTACGCTGAAAATGCGCATTTTTATTTTCTCAATAAACATGTCGGCCCTCTTTTAACAAAAGTTATGCTAAATCTAAGCAAATTTGATGCATGCAGATAGGCCATCCATCCCTAAATGGATGGAATGATGCAGTATAAGTGTCTTTCTCTAAACTGATTCCATTCATCAGGGAATACAGATTAACATAGAGATTACTGCATCTAGCCTTATAATGTGTAGGGATTTATAAAAGCTATATAAAACTTTCTGATAGAAAATCCAGTGCATTTTCCTAATAAAAATGTTTTATTTAAAAAAATTAAAAATGATTTAAAACCTAAATCTTGACTTCTAAATGATATACTTTTAGTAAAAAATTTACTCTGAACCATTTTACTTTTTTTTAATTTTACGTATAACAAACAGAGACACCTTGCGGTGAAATTTGGTACTGAAAACCAGTGTTCAATGTAGCGCTTTAAATTCTCTACCCAATTGCTCCCCCCCCCCCCATTCCCACTCTTATCTACAAATCACACAGCTTTCTATTTAATATAACATTATTATATATTGCTGCACTCTGCACTGCAGTGCACACACACCTGGGCTACTCAATTCTTCAATAATTATAACACTCAAAACATATGCGTAAAAAGAGCGCAATTTTTATGCAATTTTAATGCTAACAAAGACAATTCTTTTAAAAAGTTTATTTTTTCAATTTTTTTTTGGAAAATGCAATATATGCCGTTTCAGAAATTTTAGATTTTTCACAAATAATTTAGATTTAGAGTTTTAGGCATTTATGCAAATTTAGCGTATTTTTACGCAATTTGTATACCTGAAATAAAATGATACACATCTCCACAAATTCATGATATTTTTACTCAAAGCTGGGTTATAAAATATTTACTTTAGAAAAATTAGATATTTTCACTAATTTAAAATCTAGACTTACGCAAATTTGCGTTTTAATTGCTTAATTGGAGCCAAAATATTATGCGTTTACATTGCTTACGCAATTTGGATAGCTGGGTTGTATTGGTTGGACAAATTTTTATATTTGTGTGAATTTAATGAATTGGAGAGTTCACTAAACTATCTATTTCCTAAATCAAAGCTTTAATTCAAATCTTCAAAAAACATTGATTTAAGATTTGAACTTGCAGTAGGAAATTCGGTGGACATTTTAAACTCATTCCTATTGGTACCTGGTCCTTGACTTATTGATCCCAAACTTGAAAACTGCTTTAGTCTATATCTTTTTTATTTTGTAGCCACTTAAAGGAGAAAATTCACCTGCTCCAGCTCCTTACAGTACAACATCTGATACTAATGCCTCTACTCCTTATACTACATCACCTACTCCAGTTGTAAAGGATAGTTGTATACTTCCTCCCACTAGGGATTATGGAAAACTTGGTGATCCTTGCAGGTGTAATTTTATCAAAACATTGCTGTTGCTGAAATCATTCAAAATTACTTAATTCTGCAAGAAAGTTCTAAAACACTGGAAGAAGTTTTCACTATTTTAAATTTTGATTAGTGCAAATGACTTTTGTATTTTAAGCATTCAAAGTTCCTGTGTTCCATTTAATGATTTGGTGTGTGTAAAGAATAATGGATCAGCTATGGGTTCTTGCCAAAAGGTAACTTTTTATAGAATCTGAATTGTTTTGATAAATAGTTTACTTTTTTGAACAACTCTCCTTATCAAAACAAGAATTTAAATTATGCGGCGCATTTTACTTTAGCTTAATTGCCTGCTCTGTAACTTCCACCCAATTTTGCCAATTCCAAATAATTCTGCACAATAATAAAATATTTGCATGCAATTCTGTGCAATTCCTCCTAATTGAATTCCAATTGGAAACCCTAGTTAGATACTAGGAAAGATGGCTAGTAATAGGTAAACATTGTCCTTGTAACTTCCCAGATCGAATGTAAAACTGATGAAGAATGCTCTCATAGCTCTTTTCCAATGGAATGTGGAGGTGGTATATGCAGGTAAATATCTTTAGAGAATCTTATTTTGTAAGTAGGGTTTCCAGAAAAAAGGGTATATCATTTGCAAAAACTTCACATTTTTTAGGAAAAATAATTTTTTCCCTGAAAATTTAGAAGTTTTTGCATTTTATTTGTTCAAGAAAATTGTTAAAATATTTTGTCTTCCTCTGTTCAGCCAAGAATGCAAACATTTTGCAAAACTCTAATTGTAAGATAAATGCCAAGGTAAAAAAACCTTAAAAGTGAAGATTTTCTTCATAATTGCTAGGATAGATACTCAATTTGTAATTTTAATTAAAATTGAAATTTACTAAAACTAGGTCATCAATTCCATTAAAATTACAATTTCAAGAAAAATAAAAGAAAATGATTAGTTACATTATAGATCAAAAGACTGTTCTGAAACATTTTGTCCTGATGGATATGGTTGCTATAGTGATGGACAGTGTAAAAGGGTAAATAATCAAATTATCAAGTAGAAATGATCATTTTTAATCAAATTTAGTTTAGATTATGGGAAACTGTAAATTTGTCTGTGACTGTGGAGATTGTGGGGAGGTAAGAAATCATCTTGAAGCTGGTACCTTCTGAATTTTTAAGCATGAAGCATTATGACAATATCAATGCTTTAACTTTAGATGGACTGCTTCAAAAACCAATGTTTCTGTGATAATAACTTTGATGACTGTGGATCACCCACAGGATATGTGAGGTAAACTTTCTTTAATCAGATGTCAGATGGAATATCTTAGATGAAAATAAAACATTACTTCTTTAGTAAAACTGATCCAACCCTTGCTGGAGGAATATCTTATTCTAAACAGCCAAGTGATGAATGCACAGAACGTATGTTTACTCTAAGCCAATTTTTTTAAAGATATTATTTGAACAAATCAAAAGTTCACTTTAACATTTCAATTTAAATTTTAAGACAGTCAAAAATAGCTGATTTATCAATTTTAGTTAATTTATTGATAATGAAACCATAATTTTGAATAATTACAAATACAAAATTTAAAGCTGACTAAAATTATGCTATGGGGAATATTTTTTTGTGTTACAAAAATGAAACATTTTGACAAAACAACTTATAATTTGGTTTGGGTCAATGATATTATTGCCCTTTAGTTTTGATTGAAGTGTGAATTTTTAAGTCTAATATAATAAACATAGAAATATTGTTAGGTACTTCCTTCAGTCATCAATATAGAAGTGAAATTAAAAAAATCAATATTCAGCTGAATGCTCCAGTGATTGGATGAAAACAAGTGCTGGATGCTATAAACTATTACCAGAGCAGTCAACCTTTGATGAAGCTGTTGCCAAATGCAAAGAAGAGGTTACAGCTATAACTTAATATTTCTTATTTTAATACTGTTTATTTTTTTAAGTCCAAGCTATAGATACAGGCAATGAAGTTTTGAAAAGTACTCTGTAAGCGACGAACAAAATTAAATTAACAACTAATCCTAAATTTCATTTTAGAAAGGATTTCTTGCTAAAGTTGATTCCAAGAAAAAGATGGAAGAACTTCTGAAATCCGTTCTGAAGGATGGAACTATTTCTGTAAGATCATTAAATTCTTCAATTCTCAAAACTAATTTATAATTTGGATAATTTGAAGGCTCATAAAATAATAACAAAACTAAATTAGCAAAAAAGCAAACAGCTGTATGAAGAGAAAATTTCTGTTAATCTAATCAAACTTCTTAATGAATCCCATTTCATATTTCAGCTGCTACTAAATTTAAATTAAAAGATGAATGAAAATTGTATTTTCCTAGGCATGGATTGGAGCAAAAAAAGAAGGTGATACGATTAAATGGATTTCTGATAATTCTGTAATAGGATATTCTCCCAGTGCTTATGCTAGGTAAGTGTAGGGTTTCCTCAAAGTTTGCTAGCACATCTTTAACACAATTCTCATACATACAAGAAAGCAAACAAAATGATGCAATTGCTGTGCAAAATGTGTTGCAAAAAATACACTATTTTATTCCATTGGAAACCTTGGAAAGTTTATTATTTTGTAAAAATGTTTTTGACAAATTTGAGGTTTTTATAATATAGGATTGAAACTGACCCTGCTAAGGCATGTGTTCGAACCATTAGTTTAAATTGGCAAAATTCTGCTTGCACAGAAAAACTTTCTCCACTCTGTGAAATGGCTACTGGAAAACAAGGATATTAATTCTCTTTATTTTGCATGAAATAAATTTTTAACAAATATAGTGTTTTATTTTTATGTATATTCATTTAACCAACTTTTTGTGAGCTAATCTACTCACTCAAAATTATCCTAGAGTTATTGAACCTCATCATGATCTGCTTAAGGTTGATTGGAACTACCACTAAGCCTTAAAATCTCTTGAATTAAATCTACTTCTTCTAGATCCTCTCCTTGAAAAAAAACAGTGCTCTGGAAAATGGTGAGATTGTTCAATCTAAAATAGATTGACCAAGATTATTTATCTTTTAAAAGCAATATATTTGCTGTTTTGCTACTTAGCGATTTCCCTAAAGACCTAATATATGTACC